GGACCATGTTGGTGTCAGGAAACTTCACCTCTGGGTTTGTCTAATTGAAATCATTTTATTGTTTCCACCCAATACAAAGTGACTCCATGCCAGTCAAGTTTAAAAACAGACAACTCGGTTGAGTGGTTCCTCAAAACATTAACCATAGAATCAACACATGAGCAGTAATTCCCTTCTGGAAACACTCCCAAAGAAGGGGAAGCAGGGACTTGAGCAGGAAGTTGGACACCCATGGCGATAGCAGTGTGATTTGTGATCACCAGAACAGACACCAACCCGAGTGTCCACTGATGGTAAACAAACAGTGGTATGTGCCTACGAGGGAATATTATTCAGCCTTGAAAAGGAAGAAAACCCAGACATATGCTCCAACTTGAATGAGCCCCGGGAACATTATGCTAAGTGAGATAAGCCTGTCTCAAAAGGACAAAGCAAACACGGTAGATTCTTATATACTTATATGAAGTCCCTAGAGTAGTCAGACACAGAGACAGAAGGTAGAATGGAGGTGGCCAGAGTTAGTTAGGCTTCCTGGAGAAAGGCTGAGAGGGGAGGGGAGCTGACCCTTCCCCAGGCATTGGTTTCTTACCATAACGTTTTCATAATTTCATTCCAGGTGGGAATGGGGTTGTTACTCAGTGGGTACAGAGTTTCAGTTTGAGATGATGAGAAAGTTCTAGAAATGGAAGTGATAGTTGCACAGTAGTATGTCTGCCCTAAGGCCACCAAACTGTATGCCTCAAAAATGGTAAAAATGGCCAGGTGCGGTGGTGCACGCCTGTAAGCCCAGCGGCTCAGGAGGCTGAGGCAGGAGGATCGAAAGTTCAAAGCCAGCCTCAGCCACTTAGCGAGGCCCTACGCAACTCAGTGAGACCCCGCCTCTAAATAAAGTATTTAAAAGGGCTGGGGATGTGGCTCTGTGATTAAGTGCCCCTGGGTTCAGTCCCTGGTCCAAAAAATAAATAAAAATAAAAAAACGGGTGAAAATGGTCAATGTTATGTTTTGTATATTTTACCACGATCTTGTAGAAAGCAGGCAGAGGTGACCTACAGTGACAGAAATGAGTAGCGGTCACCTTTGAGAGACAGGGACTCGGGAGAGGACAGACTCCTCTGGGGCAGAATGTTCTACCTCTTGGTGTGTGTGGGGGATTGTGTGAGCACGTAGATGGATAAATATCCACCGCCCTGCACACTTGAGAATCGCACACTTCGGAGAATGTAAAATGTTAAATTATTTAATGCAAATATAGTAGATTTTTTTTCAATTATATAAAAAACCTGAAGTCCAGACAGAGAGGAGCCAGGCCCCGTGACTTGCAGGGAACCGGGAAGGACAAACTCCCAGGAAGGAGGTGGACCCTTCACTTGGAGCGACCTGGTCCCCAGCCTCCCCCACAGTGGCCCTCGCACCCCACCCACTGCCCTTTCCTCGCCCACTTGTTTGTCTTTTTATCATGGACAATTTCATTTTTTAAAAGCCGAACACCACTGAGTTCCACTATTCTGCTTCCTGGCCGCCTCCTGGCCTGTCCCGGTTGGGTACCCAGGACAGGCTCTCAGGGTCCTCGGGAGCCCCACGGGGCTGGGGCCGGAGTTCAGCCTAGGTGGGGGCTGGGCTGCCGGTGCCTTCTCTTGGGGTCTCTTGAATTCAAAGCATGAAGCCCACGGAGGGGTCAGCGTGATGAGAGACCCGCTGTCAGCCTCCCTGCTGCTGAGGGCTCCGCCTGTCCTAGTGACCAGTGGGGACCAGGCCTTCCCTGGGCCACCTGGGGCCTTCAAGCTCCCAGCAGCAAAAATCTGTCCTGGGCCTAGAGAGCCCGGTCCTGCTGGGGCTTTGGTCCAGGGACGAGCCACGTGAAGCCGGCCCTGCCTCTAGTCCTCTTGTGCCCGCGCCTGGGGGTCCCTGGCCTCAGCCCAGCACAACAGGGGAGCTCAGGACTCAGGGACAGAGCCCAGGGGAAGTGCCCGGAGGAGGAAAGGCCAAGACAGGAGTCCAGTCCGTCCTCTCCAGCCTGGGGTAACCCGCAGGACTTGGCACACTGGGAGGGGACGTCACACAGGGCACCCCGTTACTGCCCTCCGGCCTGCACTTCCTGGCCAGGGCTGGCGCTGCAGGCCGGGCCCCAGGCCTTTCCTGGCCGAGGAAGGCAAACACAGGGGGTCAGAGGTCAATGGCGTTCCAGGCCCCGCCCTCCAGGCCTGGTCCCCTGGCTGACCTCCTCCCCCACCCCAGGTGCACCTTTTCCCTTGGCCTCAGACTCCAGCGTGGCTGGGCAGGGTTGCGACTGACCCTGACTCTATTTAAACGGTGCTCTTTGTCCATTGTATCTGGGGATTAACCCTGGGTTTCGCCATGTTGCGTGGACATGTTGTCCCTCTGGATAACCGAGGTGTTGGTGTTAAGTTCTGCCTCGAGAGGATGCAGCCTGCCAAGCCCCCGGCTCCTCGGGGAGCAGCCACCCATCTCCCCTTTCCTCCAAGGCCCCTCATGCCCAGGGTCTCCTCTGAGCCAAGGACGGCAGGACAGGGTGGCCGCCTCTCGCGGGGCGTCCTCGCGTGCCCAGCTCTGAGCTGAGGTCTTCCCGCGCAGCCTGTCCCTGGGCTCCCTCATCAGCCTTCCAGGGAGTAACCGATGGGGGTCCCGCGGCTGGGAGAGGTCACCTGCAGGTGATGTGCACAAGGTCACACCCTGAGAAGCACTGGACTCAGAGTCCAGCCTGGGTCTGCCTGGCCCCGGGCGCCCACCTGCTGCTGCTGTGGTCTGGACGCCTCCCTCTGCTCCCCGCTGGGGCAGTCCGGGATGGCTGCCTGGAGGAGGCCCCACAGAACTGAGTAGGAGTTAACAGGGGGGTCTGCCCAGCAGAGACAGATGTCACATGCCCTGTCACAGTTCTGAGAAGCCGTGGTGCTTGCGAAAGGCGCCCCCCCCCCCCCCCCGCAGCACCTCGCTTCCTCTTTCTGCTTCTGTTTCCCGACCGGCAGCTCAAATAAATAGGAAGCTTGGGGCTCACTGCTGCCGGAGGCTCCGGGAGGAGGCCGCCTGTCGCACGCACGCACCGCACCGAGGTAGGGCCTGGCTCTGGGGCAGGGCTGAAGGGTGCAGAGTCGGGGGGGGGGGGACAGGGAGCTGGGGTGGCGGCTTGCTCTGGGGACCTGCGGAGATCGGGACTTATCTGGGGAGGACTCAAGCCCAGACTCCGGGCAGCCAGCGGGCGGGCGAGGAGGCAGCCGGGGAGTGGACGTCCTCCGGTCCCATGTGAGGGCTCTGGGGCAGCGGCCTCCCCAGCCCAGCCGGGAGTCAGGCGCCTCGTACCGTCTGCCTCAGCTTTGTCACCAGGGTGTGGGTGGCAGGGAGGGCACCCCCTCTCTGCCCTGGGCTTCTGTCTTCCCGTCAGTGGAAGAGGAAGGGGACAGAGAGTCCCTGGAGAGGAAGAATGCTGGCGACACACAGCCACCGAGAGCTGGGAGGGGAGGGCCAGGTCTCCAGCACTCCCGGACAACACCGTGGCTTGGTCCAGTCCAGGCCCAGACGTGTGTGTCCTGGGCCCAGGTGGGTTGGCTGGTGTGGGGCGCCTGAGCCGGCTACCCCGGGCCTGTCACAGCTGCACCCCCGGGGACGAGGGGACAGGTGCCGGGTCCACCAGGGGTGTGAGTTTGTGGGGCCTCTCCAGACAGGCCCCGGCGCCCAGAGGGTAGTTTCCAGTCTTCAATTCCCATTTTACATAACCAGATGCTGATTTTTCCTGCATCCCTCCTGATTTTAACATGGCTCTGTAACCAGCAGACCTGGCCCGTTAGTGACAGGCCACTCTCGTCCACTCCTCGGCTTTACATTGTTGGGTCAGTACTCACAGGGGCCCTGTCAGATGAGTCGGCGCCCTGCCTTATTAGAAATCAGGATGATCCAGACTCAGAGCATAAAGACCAAGTTCACAGCCACCTGCGCCCTGGTTCCCCATCCCACTCTCCGCCACGTCATCTCTCGGGCACGGGGACTCTGGCACCCGCACTGAGCCGGGGGTGGTTGTGATTTTCCACATAATATTGTGCTTTGGGAACCCTCCACCTGCTTCCTACAGCTCTACCTCGTGAATGAGCCCTGAGAGGCGGTCAGTGCGGGGCCTCGCCCCCACCTCACCCCGTATCATAGACGCTGAGGCTGTGGCTGGCTGCTCCACCCCCATCCAGGGGACTCTGGAGCCTGCCTCCCAGGAGCATCAGTTACTGGGCAGATCTTGGTCATGAGCCTGAAGTGTTGATAGGAACCCTCCAATCGTCCTCAGTGGCTGGACTAACACGCACACGGGCACAGACGTGCCTGACAGGCCCCTTTAGGGAATTCACCGGTTGGTTCATTTTGTCCCATGTCATGGATGTCCCATGTCTCTCCCCGTTGCCGGATCCCCCCGTTCCCTGCCTGTGGCTGGACCGTGCGCCTTCCACGTGCTCTTGGCCCCTTCATTGATGGACACAGGGGAGTTCTTTGCCCATTTTCTGATGTAAAGCTCCACTTTGAAGCAGAATCACTTATGAGGCGTCTGGATATTGGATTCACACCTGTGGCAAACACACTTTCCCAGATTCTCACGGACTCTTTTACATTGCCACCTTCAAGACGTCTCACGTCGTATAAAAATGGTCTGTTTATAAATCTATAAGTCAAATCTGTCATTATTATTATTTTTGACCTTCTGATTTCTAGTTTTGTCTTGTACAACCCCAAATATTAAGGAAAGATGCCTGACAACTTAATTAACTTGTTGAGGTTCTGGTTCCAGCACTTACCACTGAGCCACACTCCCAGACCCTTTTTAATGTTAGAGACAGGGTCTCGCTGAGTGGCTGAGGCTGGCTTTGACCTCGCGATCCTCCTGCCTCAGCCTCCCGAGCTGCTGGGATCCTGCGTGTGTCCCTTTGTGCCCAGCTCACTTTTATTTTAAACTGTATTTTATTTCATTTGGTTTATTTTAGTTTTGCCTTTTTAGATCTTTAATCCACCTGGTATTTGGAGGGATGGGTCATCTGTAAGGTGATAATCTAACTTTGAAAACAGCTATGGTCTAGTTATCTGAGAATCATAGTTAGTGTGAGGTCCCTCTGTCCCTCAGTGCCAGGTGTGACTTCCTAGTGTCCTCCACGTTCGCGGTGATTTTCCTGTTTCTGGTCTGACGGTTCCATTCCTTATTATTTTTCTGGCAGACGGAGCAAGCTTCAAGTTAGAATCGGCTGGTCAAGTCTGTTAGAAACCCTCTTGAAACCTTCATTGGGATCACATTGAATTTAGGGATCACTGGGGGCAGGAATGACCCTGGGAGGTGGACGAGGGCTCGCCTCCATGGGCACCTTCCCGGGAGAGCGCTAGGGTTCCCCTGACGTGGCTCAGAGTTTCTGGCACATTCTGGATCGCCGAGCGCCCTCCTGCTTTCCCCGGGGTGAGTTTGCTTGTTTGTTTCATCAGGGATGATTTGTGCCTTAGCAAGTATTTGGGGGCATCTTTTGCGTCTCCTTTGTCCACTTCTCTGGGTCTCACCACTGGGTCCCCTTGTCCCACTTGGCCACTGTTCACCCCTCCTTAAGAAACCTTGTGACGTGGTCCCGTGAAGTTGCTTTGTCTGGGGTGAATTCGTCTTTTGCTTCTTTGTTTCTGTTTTTATTCCTACCAAATAATCTCTTCATAAATTGAGGAATTCTGATGTGCGGGTTGGATTTTGAGTAAGGGGTTTAGGTTTTCTCTTTTCTTCTTCCACCTCTTCTCTGTCGTCTGCTTGTCCCTATGCACACCCCTTATTTTTAGTGACTTTTTAAATTTTATTTGTCAATTTATTCATTTGAGATGGGTCTCCCGTTCCCGGGCTGAAGCAGCCTCCCATCTCGGCCTCCCGAGCAGCTGGGACTACAGGTGTGCGTGGCCACACTGGCTTACACTTCATATGACTGACACCAACACTGAGTTTAAATTTCGCACCAGCGTCTGGGGTTAATCAGCACACGTGGGCCCTCCAGCACCAGGCAAGATCCGGACCGCGTTTTCAGTTCCCCTCCACCCCAACCTCACCCCCGACTTCCACGACAAAGTCCCCTCCGTTTTGGTTCAATATCGTTTTCCTGCATTTGCTTCTTTTTACCTTATGCTGTGACAATTTTTCTTCCTTCAACTTTAAGTCTTTTTGGGTTTTTTTTCCCAGCAATGCGTGTGATCTTTCTCTTTTTTTGCAGTTTTTCTTTCCTGAAATATATCCTAGAGTAATTTTTTTAAAGAAAAGATCTGAAATTTTTTTTCCTTACCTTTAAGAGACCCCAAATTTTGCTGCCCTTGAATGTCAAAAAGAAAAAAGAAAAAAAAAAAGGAAACATTTTTGCCTCTTGTGATTCTTGTTTGTACGACTTTTTCTGGGGACTTTTCAAGACGGCACTCTGTTTAGGGTTCAACCAGGGCTGCTTGTGAGAAATCTCTTGCTAACCTGACCTTTGTCCCAGTGAAAGTGACCTACTTGTTCACTTCCCTATGGAAGTCTTCGCAGGATTGCCCTTTAATTTTGTGAAGATGGGAAAGTTCAATCTGCATGTGGCCTGGTATGGCACTGGTAGAAAGGAACCTGGGGGTTGAGCCTCATTTCTCTTATTACAAACCCCATTGTAGCAGCTCCTCCCCCTATAAATAAAGTCTTCCTTGTTGTGTTAAAAAAAAACAACAAAAAACAAAAACAAAACCAAAATCATCTTGTTCTTTGCTTAGCAGACTGTTGTCTCTTTTAAAGACCTGGGAAAGTTGGCAACTGTATCTGACGGGTCCCAAACAACAGTGGCTCAGCAACATAGAAATTTACTTCCCCCTAATGTCCAGTGGTGGGTCATCTCAGGCTGATACAGTTGCTCTAAAGCAACAAGAGGAATCCAGGCTCCTCTGTTTCTCTTGCATGGTCCTTGTATATGGCTCCCATACCCAAGGTAACCTCATGGTCCAGATGGCTGCTGGAGTTCCGACCATCACTTCTGAAGTGCAGGCTTGGAGGAAGGAGGAAAGGCAGAAGAACAACAATGGACCCCTTCCCACCTGAGTCCTTTAAGCATTCAGTTCTGAAAGACACACATAGAATTTCTACTCCCAGATCCTTGGACAACATTTAGTCACCTGCCCCTGCCTTATGGCAGGAAATGATAAAGAATATAACTTTATTGTGTGCAGCAATAATAAGCCCAGCTTGGGTTTCTGTTTCCAGGAGAACGGGGACAGCCAGGCACTGGCACTGCCCTCCATGTGTGCAGATTCTCTCTGCCTCTGCTTCTGGAGGTTGGAATTCTTGGATCCTTTTTTCAGGTCTCAATGTCTATAAAGCCTCCCACCCGCCCCCGGTCCATTTGCTCTATCTTTAAACATCTGTCTCTGCAAGGCGATCGGCTGTGGGGCTCGCTCTGGGATTTGGCTTGTTATCGATCCTTAAATTACAGATTTCTGTCTTCACACTCCAGGAACTCCACGTTCTATTTTTTGCACATAAGTCTGGGTTTTTAATAGCTCTGATGTCTCCTATCTCCCTGAGGATGCCGATTTACAGGTTTCAAAGTTTTCCTGTCTTTTGGTCTGTGAGGTCTGTGGAGATGTCTGTCAAGTTGGTCTAGGTCAGAGAGGACCCGTCTGACACTGGCGGTCGGGAATTACAACCTCCTCTTGACACAGTGCCTAAGACTGCAAAGTCCTGAGCCCGCCTCTCCTGTACCAGCATGGACCCCCGCCGTGTGGACCCCCTACACGGCTTCCCTCATCTGCAAAGTGAGGATCCTAACTGTAGCCACACAGATGCATTAACACCTGCCCACAGTGCCTGGCTAATGGTGAACACAAGCAAACACAAGGCCCTAAGGAGAGCTCTCTGGGCACCCGGGAGGGTCCATTTGCATTCTTTAATGACCTGGGTTCATCTTAATCTTTCCGGTGGGAGACAGCCACCTGTTTTCTCTCATTTGAGTTGCTATGATCTGTATGTTTGTGTTCCCCCAAAACTCATATGTTGAACCGTGGGAGGCAGAGCCCCTGAAAGGGATTAGGGTCCTATAGCCAGAGAGCTCACCGCGCCCCTGCACCCCATGAGATTATCATGAGGAGTCCATAAGGAAACAGCCCGCACCAGATACCAAATGGGTCAGCACTTGGATCGTGGACTTTGGCTCCCAGAAAAAGAGAAACAAACATCTGCTGTTTATGAACTGCCTAGTCTGCAGCCCTAACAGATTAAGATACTGGTGCAAACATTGTGTGTGTGTGTGCATTTTGTGCTTTGCTTTATGATTCTGTTGGTTTGCTTTGCAAACCTGACTGTCTCCGGTCAGTCTCTGTCTCTCTGATTCCTTCGATGGCTTTTAAGTTTAAATAGGTCAAAGGTTCACGTCTACTGTGAAGTTTAATGGGATTCGCCTTTTTGCATTTGAATTTTTGGTTGACCTCCGTTTGGGGAGTGGTGTGACGGGGAGATTTTGACTGGCTGTTCAATTATCCTAGCAGGTTTTTAATTGAATATTCATCCCTTCGCATTGTTTACTAATTCTTCCTCTATCAGAGAGGGAAAATACAGTTTGACCCTATGATGGCCACTAGCAGGTAGGTAGGCAAGTAGATAGACAGACAGAGGGACAGACACCCAGGCAGGCAGGCAGGCAGGCAGGCAGCCCGGCGGCGCGGTACGTGCATTCTGAGCGAGGCTTCAGACAGCTTTGCAGAGAAGGGAGCCACCCTGACCGTGCTCTGCTCCGGGTACTTCCCAGGGCTGGGGAGGTAATGAAAATGAGGAAATCCCCAGCCTCTTCAGGGAAAGGAGAACTGGAGGCAGATGGCCTGTGGGACAGATGCTGGTAAATGGAGCCCAGGCCGGGGGCGCACAGAGAGCTCACACCTTGTGGTGACACCCCAGCATCCAAACCCTGACTCCCGAGCAGCTGGGCTGGGAAGGCCAGGGGGAGCCGGGTTCAGAGCAAACCCCAGGCCTCTCTCTCAGGTGCCGTCAACTCAGGTGACTGCACACTGGTACCAGGGGACCACGGTCTCATAAGCCTTTGAGCCCTACCATTGCCCCAAGGCCCCTGAGTTCCAGGGAAGGGCTTGTCTCAGGGCACAACACGGGGGCCTGGGCTCTCCCCCGGGACATGGGCCGAGCCCTGGGCAGCTCCCAGCAGGCACATCTTTCTGTAGGCGCAGAGGAGCCAAGTCTTGAGAGACGAATCACAGGCTGGTGACATGGATTGGGCCCAGAGCCCGGAAGGACAGGAATAGAGACTTCTGGGACAATGAGGACCCGCCATCTGCCCACAGGCAGGGCTCTTCTGTACAGCCACATGCAGGCTCAGGGCTGACCGGGAGATGGCGCTGACCTGGGGGCTGCTCCTCCTGGCCCTGCAGGCTCCCTGGGGCCAGTGGGTGACAGGGGCAGAAGGTGAGTCACAGGGCTCCCTCCCTCTCCCCTCCCCCTCACTCTGGGCCCTGAGGGGGCCACTCCCACTGGACCCCAGAAGCTCCCAGAACCAGGCTCTGGCCCTCCTCCCTGGGCTTCCCTAATTTCTTCTGCCCGTCCTCTTCCTCCTCCCTGGGCACCGCCCCTGTCCCCATGTCCCTGGCCCCCCTTTCCTGGCGTCCTGGAGAACCTGGCTGAGGCATGGTCACTTCTCTGCCCACGTTTCTCAGCGTGGCCCCCAAGGCCCTGCCTCCAGGTTGGCCCAGCGCCCTCTGTCCTCCCTCCCTCCTCACAGACCCTCCATCCTCTGGTGGCCTCAGGGTCCCGCCTCCGGGTCCTGGGTTCTCTCCACTTTAGCCCCCAGGGAACTTGACTTCTGTGGTGACCCCAGGAGCCAAGTCCCTCTCCACGCCCAGCCTGGCAGGCTGAGGGCAGGGGCAGTGGGCCCAGGGCCGGGCAGTGCCTGCGGTGTCTTGGGCCGGGGCCCGCCTCTCCTCCCTGGTGCACATGGGGTTGGGGACAGGACCTGTGCATGAGGCGGGTCCCTGTCCTGAGGGACCTGGAGCAGCACGAGGCAGGTCCCTGATGTGCTGAGAACCAGCTCATCTGTGCTCCTGTCAGGAGGGGACTGTCCCCACCTCAGAGCCCCCAGCCCACACAGGCCCAGGGCCTCTGCAGGAAGGCAGGAGACCCCTCCCCAGGGCTGCACATCCCCGAGGAGCTGGGGTGGTGACAAGGGACACTGAGGGGACAGCAGTGACCCCTCCTGCTCTGCCCACCAGAAACCATCCCGCTGAAGACGCTGCGCTGCTACAACAACTACACCAGCCGCATCGTCTGCAGGTGGGCGGACACGGAGGACGCCCTGCGGCTGCTCAACCTGACCCTCCATCGCAGGGTGAATGGGTGAGTGGCCCTGGGAGCCGGGACACAGGGGGGACCTGCCCTGTCTCTGTGCCTGTCCCCCATGCTGTGGAGTGGAGAGGGGCGTGTCGGTCAGCATCGGGTTGGACCACTCACAGGACAAGGGAGGAGGGTGGCCCCCGGACCCCCGGGCCCAGCGCTGGTGTCTGATGTTGGGGTCCTGGGGGCTTACAGCCTTCCATGCTAATGGGGTGGTGGAGGTGATGGCGACCACTGACTTAGTTCCTCCTCCCCGGAGGTGGACGGGACAAGGACACCAGGCCCAGTTCACAGAGGAGGAGACGGAGCCCAGGGAGGGAAGGCCCCGGCCGGCCACAGGGTGGTCAGGACAGGCGGCAGCACAGAGGCAGTGTCCCCAGCCCCACCACCTCCCCATGAGGGGTCCCCCGCCCCCGTCCCATGGCTGCTGGGCGCAGGCCACTGGGGGTGGCTGACCTCACTCTGGCCTGTTGGGGATCTGAATCAGCCACAAATGACACAGTCAAGGGCGAGTCCCAAGGAGCCATCTCTCCACACCCCACGCCTCCCCTCCAGGGTTCCCTGCTGCTGTCCTGAGTCCTCCATGCGCCTTCCCCTGTCCCCCAGGGCCACCCTCCCCTCCCCCCTGAGACAGCAGAAGCCTGGAAGGGGAGCCCCCGCTCCCCCCACCTGTACCTCCCTGGACCTGGCCTGGTCAGTGTCCCCGGCCCTGCAGGGAGTCATGTCCCAGTCACTCTGAGCCCCGACCTGGATCTTCAGGTCTCACTGCTCAAGGACGTGGCTGCCACCACCGTTCCCACCCCCTGTGCCATCGGTGCCCTCCCCCAGGCTTATCCCCATGACCTTGTAAGTGTGGTCCGATGCCGGGCTCCAGATGCCAACAGTGACGGCAGCCCTGGCAGCTCCAGGCCCTGCGTCCCCGTCCCCACAGCCCCAGCCCCTCCCTCTGTCCACGACGCGTTTTCCCAGGAATCTCCCTTGAAACTCTGGTGAGGCTTCACCCCCTGCTTCCCCTCTCCCCTTGTCAAGGTCACCAGTGACCTCCGTCCCTGACCTGGACCTGAGCCCGTCTTACACTTGACCCATGAGCGTCCCGCAGGCACGTGACTGCCCCCATCCTAATGCCCCTTCACTGGCTCCTCCTGTCTGGTTGGGCCATCTTCTTGTTCCTTGTCCCTTGTCCCTCTGGCTCTGCAGGCCAGCAAGGCCCTGGGCCCTGTCCTGGGCTCAGCCCAGAGGCCATTCCCTCAGACACCTTCCCGACTACCCCTTCTGGATGCCCTCGGGAAAATCTGCACACCACAGTCTGCTGGGAAGGTTCCTGCTCCTTCCATCATCAGTGCCTCTGTCCCCAGGTGGCCGGGGGCAGGGATCTGCCATATGCAGTGACAACCCCTGACCCTGGATGACTTTGGCATGTGGCAGCCGTTCAGTGACTGTCTGATGAATGGAGGACTCTAGTGCACGTTAGCTGACCCTGTCCTCTCCTAACAGGGATCTTCCACAGCCAGTGTCCTGTGAGCTCAGTGAGGACATGTCCTCGGGGGACTGCCCAGCTCACCAGTGTGTACACAGGAAGTGCCTCATTCCCTACCAGGAATTTGCCCTCGCTGACCACGACTACTACTTCTTCCAACCAGACCGGCCGCTGGGCATCCAGCTCTTGGTGCCACTGACCCAGCACGGTGAGGGGCTGGCCCCTGTCCACACAGGGGCACCAGGGTGACCGGGCTACAGGAGGTGGCCAGGGAGGGAGTCTCCACGGGCTGGACACGGTCCTGGGGGCACAGGAGATGGTGTCCTCACAGTGGAGGCATCAGGGCAGGTGCCACGTGAGGACGCTGCCCACCCTCCCCTGCCTGCTGCTTCTGCCACCTGCAGGCCCCTGGCTCCCGCCCGAGAGCTTCCCTCCAGGCAGAGCCCTTCCTGGGCTTCACAGGAAGCTCCTCGCTGACAGGACCCTCCGTCCTCGTCACCGCCCCTCATCTCTACAGCAGCCCTGGCTGGGGAGGAGGCCCCTGAGGCCCAGGCAGCGCCAGAGTCACCACTGACAGGGACGGTCCACTTTCCCTGGGCTTCCTCCACCGCAGATCCGGGTGGTCCCCTGAGCCCTTCTGGGGTCCCGGGGGCCACGCTGTGGTCTGTGGGGCTCACGCCGCCCTCTGGCTTGGGGGGCAGGCGGCTGCCCTGCACAGTGAGGCTGTGTCTGCTGTGCACTTGAGGGACACGCGGGCGGCTCTTCAGACCCGTGGCTCCAGGGAGTTGGTGCCAAGAGGAGACAAAGTGCGGGCTGGTGTCGCACAGAGGCCGGGGTTCGCCTCGGGAGCCTGGGACCTGGGCTCCACCCCAGATCTGCAGGAAAGGTGCAGGGGCTTTGGAAACAGGTTGCGTCAATGTCCAGCCCGTAGGGACCTCGCTCCAGCCTGAAGCTCGCTGGCTCCGATCGGGGAGGCTGGCAGGGGCTGGGAGGGCACAGGGGTGCACCTGGCACAGGAGGCTCCCCCAGGACAGACCTTGGACACTTCATGTCCTCTGTCGCTTTCCCCATCTGATTAAGGACCAGGAGGGGGAACATCGGGGATGACCAGGGGAGTAACTGGTCCCTAGGCTGCTCCCTGGCTGCTCTGCCCCCACTCCCTGTCAGCCCCAGGGCGGGGAGCGCAGCCCTCCATCATGGGTTCCCGTCCTGGCTGGGGCTGGGCACAGGCTGGTTCTGTGCTGTGCCCTGACATTCTGGGTTGGTGACTCCTCCGAGGTCCCAGCTCAGACCTGCTCCCATGCACCAGGTCCCCGTCCACATGGGACATCACCACTTTCCTTCATGAGGTTTGGTATTTGAAAGTCACCCCCCAGCAATGAGCCTCCCAGTCGGGGGGGACCAGCAGCCATGGCTCTCAGGAGCCTCTGGTGGAGTCACCCAGGAGGCCCCGACAGACCGATGGGCACTGGAGATGGCTCCCTGGGCACAGCAGCCGGCCCCGGACCCCAGATGGCTCACTGCACCCCACGTTTCTGCAGAGGAAGGGCTACAGGGCCAGGGCTCCTGCCCATGGTCACCGTGCTGCTGGGCCGCTCTGGGCTGGGACCCGTCCCTGGTGGCCCCCGTGGCCCTCACGTACCCTCTGCTCCCTCCCTGCAGTCCAGCCGCCCCCACCCAAGGACCCCCAGATCAGCAAGACCGGGGACCATTTCCTGCTGACCTGGAGTGTGGCCCTCGGGGATCCCCAGACACCCTGGCTGTCGCAGGGGGACCTGGAGTTCGAGGTGGTCTACAGGCGGCTTAGCGACTCCTGGGAGGTAGGATGGGGTCAGCTCTGCCCGTGCCGGGGGACGCCAGGCTGGCCCTTCCTGCAGCGCCCCTCTCTCCCTCAGGAGGCCACCAGCCTCTACTCCCGGTCCTCCCCGGCCGTCCTGGGCGCAGAGCTCCTCGTGCCCGGCAGCACCTACGTGGCCCGAGTGCGGACGCGGCTGGCCCCCAGCTCGCGCTTCTCGGGACGGCCCAGCCGCTGGAGCCCCGAGATCCTCTGGGACTCGCAGCCAGGTACTGGGGTCCACGCGGGAGGTGTCCTTCTAGGACGGGTCTCCCAGGCACTCGGGGCCCCGGAGTCCACTCGTGGCCTTGCGGGCACCTGCGGCTGCGTGTCCTGGGCCTCCGGGGCCAACCCATGTGCTCGGGCGGCTGCCAGGCCGTCATGGCCCCTGCGGGCTCCGTGTCCTGCACTCTCTGTGACAACCACGACGTCATGGTCACAGCAGCCTTGCTGGCCGCTGTGTGTGAATGAGCACCACGTGCAGGGCTGGCCCCGTCTCTGTGTCCAGTCCCCACACGAGGAGGCTTGGAGCCCATCCCTGCCTCAGGGATGGGTGGACGTCCCACGGCCTCTGGGCTGTGGGCACCTGGCAGCTGCAGGCCAAGGCTCAAGCCCGCACTTGCTGCCCCAAAGCTGGGGTCCCCTGTGCTCAGTCACCTGGTGTCCCCAGAGCTCTGGAGGGAGGAAGGGCAGTGACCGAGGGGTGTGTCCCTCCAGGGGACGAGGCCCAGCCCCGGAACCTGCAGTGTGTCTTCGACGGGGCCCACACCCTGGGCTGCTCCTGGGAGGTCAGGTCCCCCGTGACCAGCTCCGTCTCCTTCGGCCTCTTCTACGCGTCCAGCCCAGAGGCACAGTGAGTGTCCGTCCCCTCTCCGGCCTTCCCTGCTCTGGCCTTGCCCTGGCCAGGCCTCCTCCTGTCCCTGGGGCATGGTGGACGCTGGGACTCAGCCCAGGTCTCAGCTGTCCCGTGGTCCCTCCTGTGTCCCTCCCTGTCCCTGCCCTCAGGGAGGAGGAATGTGCCCCGGTGTTGAAGGAGGAGCTCAGCGGCCTGTACACCCGGCTCCGGTGCCAGATCCCGGTGCCCAACCCCGGGGCCCGCGGCCTGTACGTCGTCTCTGTCCGTCCACGGAGGGAGGGGAGGTTCATCAAGAGCTCGGACAACAGTGAGTTGGCCCCGGCTCGTGGGGTGCCTGCCGGCTGGTCCTCCCCGTGAATCCAGTCACCCCACCGTGACCCCTGGGCACGTGCATGGTACCCCTGCCCCGGCCTGCGGTTCTCCCTTGAGAGGGAATGGGGTCCAGTGGCCAAAAGTGCTCTGCTCCGTCAGCCAGGCCCCTGGTGCCCGGCTCTCTCCTCTCCTGGCCCCCTCAGACCCCCTCTGCTCCCCACCCCAAATCCCCCTTCCAGACCCGGATTGGAGTTTTGACCTGACTAATTTCCAAGTTCTCCTCTGACTGATTAAGTCTTCTAAATCGTGATCTGTGATTTCCATTTCCATTCGGGGTTCGAGTTTCTGCAGAAGGACTGGGATCTGGCAGGTGGATGTCACTCATTTCTGTGACGTAGCAGGGACCCCCATGCAAGGGTCCGCTCCACATGATGGCCGAGTTCGTTTATTTTCTATATTTGTAACCAGGGGTTGAACCCAGGGGCACTTTACCACTGAGCCACCTCCCCAGCCCTTGGTGTTCTTTGGGACAGGGTCTTTCTAAGTTGCTTAGGGCCTCACTAACTTTCTGAGGCTGGCCTTGAACCTGTGATCCTCCTGCTTCAGCCTCCCAGGTCACTAGGACTGCAGGCCTGTGCCGTTGTGCCTGGCTTTCCATCTACTCTTCAGGCCTGACAAAGGCAGGAGCTAGTTTGTCTTTGTCACCTGGGTTTAAATCCACCACCTGCTCTCTGGGGGTTGCCCCTGCACCAAGGGACTCCTATGGTTCAAGTGCACAAAACATATAAAGGACTTAGAGTGACCTTGGTCCATGGGATAATTTAGCAACATGGAGACATTCACGTTGTTTTTGTAAAAGCCCCACAGAGTCATCAGGTGATGAGCATTCTCTATTTGTATTTCTTTCTGATTGATAGACTGAAGTTCAGAGTGGTCGAGTAACTTACTTAACGTCGCACCGCTAGCAGGAGGCAAATTGAGGCTGAAACATAGAACTCCTGAGTCAACACCTAGTTTCTGCTTTCTCTGTCCTTTGAGTTTCCTAACTTGTGGTCTCCTGGCCGTGGGAGACGCTGTCCCAAATGGGCTTCACCTTTCTGTTTAGCCACAATGTGGTTGGAGACAGGGTCCCCTAGATGTCATCCGAGGTCCTTGCAGCTAATGTGGGCTGACTCTGCAGGGGAGAGCTTGTGAGCCACTGCTGGCTTCAGACTTGTCCCTACCCTCTAGGGCTCAAGGGACCGGAGCCCAGAGTAGAGCAGGTCTCAGAGCAGCTCTGAGAGTCTCTGGAGCAGCGTGGGGACAGGGGGGCCAAGGGCTGCGGCATCACATATCAGGTCTGATCTCTGTCGCTCCACTGCAGAGCTGCCTGTCGTGGGCAACCCCCTTCACGTGAGCAGGTGCGTGGCTGGGGCACGGGGCCTGGCGCCTGGGCCAGGCCAGAGCTGACCGAGGTGGCCGTGTGGTGACGCCGAGCACGGGGAGGAGGCCAGGCTGTGGGCCTCTGCACACCGGGAGTCAGGCTGGGCGTCCCCAGGGGAATGGTGACACGAGGCAACACAAAGGCCCCCATGGCTGGGACCTGGGGCCTCCGCTGGGGAGGACAACACGCAGAATGGCCATCCTGAACCACGGGAATGTTCTGCTGAGGGGCCTGGTCACGGCCACCCCTAAAAGTCTCCCTCCCCCAGTCCAGATGGAGCGCCCAACCCTCAAAGTGACCAAAGACGGAGACAGCTACAGCCTGCGATGGCAAGTGGAGAAAATGTACTACACACACCTCGGACAGACCTTTGAGGTCCAGTACCGGAGGGACGCAGAGAAGTGGGAGGTGAGCCTGCACCCGGGGAGGGCTTCATGGGGCGGCAGCAGAGGGAGAGAGAGCACCCCAAGGAGCCCAGATGCACCTGGGCCCAGCAGGGGACCAGGCAGAGGTCACCACTGGGCTGTGGGGGCCGTGTCCCTGTGTGGTCAGCAGGTGAAGGAGCTGATGCTCAGAAGTGAGGGGTGAGGTCCCCTGAGAGCCCACTGGGATGCAGCGGGGCTGAGACCCCCAGGGCCGGCCGAGACGCTGGGATGGTGGAGCCAGGAGAAGGTGCCAGACTCCTGAGCGCCCGCCTCAGGGCTAGACTGGCCCACTGCACTGTGTTCCTGGAGCAGCCATAATGACCACCTGTGGGCTGGGCGTCTTCAGGGGTGGGCCAGGAGGTCCCCAGGGCCTGGGCCTGGTGCTCCCCCGGGGCTGAGGGCAGGGTCTGGCCCTGGTGGACCGCTGTGCTACAGTGGACGCTGGAGCAGGGTCCTGGGGGGCAGGAGGCCGTGCTGGGCTGCACGTGACTCCATGGGACGGAGGGGAGGAAGGGGGCCCGGGCAGGGGCGGGAGGGGTGTGCTGCTGTGGCCCCCACCTGGCCAGCGCCTCCACCTCAGCCACCTGCCCCCACAGGACAGCAAGAGAGAGACCCTGCAGAACGCCCACAGCATGGCCCTGCCAGCTCTGGAGCCCTCCACCCGGTACTGGGCCAAGGTGAGGGTCAGGCCCACCCCCGGCGTCTACAATGGCATCTGGAGCGAGTGGAGTGAGGCTGCCTCCTGGACCACAGAGTGGGGTATGTCCAGGGCCCACCTGCCCCTCCTGGGTCAGCCCATTAGGGGAGGGGTCAGGAGAAGCCCCAGGGGCCTTGGGGAGGGAGGAGGCCCAGGGAGAGAAGGGGGCTCAGGACGACAGAGTCTCCGGGGCCTTTGCTGCCCCCCGGCCAGCTGCCCGCTCCGCTCTGCACCTCTCAGATCCTCCTGGTACCTGGACGTCCAAGTCCAGGGAGTGCCCCCCCCAGCAGCCCTGGTGTGGGCAAGGCCCTGAGACCCTGGGCACCCTGACACAAAACTGAGCAGGGCTGGGGCTCACACCCAGCCTCCTCTTCCTGGGGTCTGGCCTCCCCCACCCACCCCACGCAGGGAGCCTCCGCAGCCCCTCCTGACCAGCAGGGCCTTGGGGGCCACCGGTCCCCCCCGAGCCTGCAGCCTTCCCTCCCCACCCTGAGTGTCCCTCCCCTCTGCCGGCAGTGCTGCCCACGTGGGTGCTGCCGATCGTCCTCGTCCTGGTCACCCTGCTCCTGCTCCTGGCACTGCGCTTCTGTGGCGTCTACGGGTACAGGTGAGGGCCCTCCATGTGGGGTGGGTGACCAGGACCCAGGGCCACCCAGGGCAGAGCCTGGCTCCCTGCAGTTCCCGCTCTGCCATCTCCCCCCGCCCCAGCCTCAGTGTCCCCTCTGTTCCTGGGCACGGGAGCCACTGGCCCTGAGGTGTCTGGCAACTGTCCCCTCCCTGGTGGCTGTTGCAGGCTGAACAGGAAGTGGAAGGAGAAGATCCCCAACCCTGGCAAGAGCCACCTGTTCCAGGTAGGTCTGGCTGGGAGGGGCTTCCTCTGCTGCTGTGTCCCCTGTCCCTGTCCGGCCACCTCCCTCCCCTTCCCGTGGGGGGCCATGGAGGGTGTGGGTGGGCCAGGCCTGAGCACCTGGGGGGCCTGGCCAGCAGGGAGCTGCCCCTGGACACCTGCAGGGGCAGCAGCCCTGCCCTGGAGACAGGCCCCATGTGAGGGTGCTGGGGGGCATGAAGCTGGGCTTCCCAGGGGGCGACCACCTGGGGACACGGTGCCTGGTGCCCGGAGCCCTGTGGTCAGGTCACAGGGCAGCTCTGCTGTGGGGGCCTCGTGCAGAGTGCGGGAGGACAGGGAGAGTGGGGGACGCCCAGGTGAGAGGAGCCTGGGAACAGGCCCCCCGTCCCCGGGAGCTCGGCACCTGGGGACTCACAGCCCCCTGGGCCGCCCTCTCCTGGTGCCAGGGGGCCGGGGCCGTCCTGACCACCTGCAGGTCCCCCCAGGTCTGGGCTCACCGAGGGCCCTCCCCCTCACTGTCCTGCAGCCCGCCCCCACCCACAGGCACCCTGTCCTTTCCCTTCCAGAACGGGGGTGCAGGCCTCGGGCCCCCACCCAGCCTGTGGGCTGCCCCCAGCAGGAGCCCGCCTGCCCAGGGGCCCTGGGACAGCCAATTTCCTGAGCTGGAGAGGTGAGTGTGTGGCTCTGTGGTGGCTCTGGGCCTCTGGGGATCCGGTTGGGACAGTGCATAGTGTGTGTCAGGAGTCTCAGGCGGTGTCCTGGGCTCACTGTGAAGTGACCCACAGAGGTGAGTTCACTGAAGCAGGAGGCACACAGGTGGACATCAGGCAGAACTTCCTGACTGCCAGGTTAGAGGCCAGAGCGAGGCAGGGCCCTGGAGCCGATGACCTCTCCTGCCCTCCTGTCCAGGGACGTGCCCCACGTCAGTGGGTTCACTGGGTGGCTGAGGGACATTAGCCGCAGGCCTCAGCCCTGGGGTGGCTGCTCATTTTGTCAGGCGGGGTTGATGGACACTCTTAGAACTGTGGAAGGAGCAGGCGGTGGGCAGGCAGCTTGGCCCTGGCTCTGGTGGCGTGCCAGGAGCAGGGTGCTGTGGACAACCTTGAACTAAGTATCACGAATGGACATGTGATCTCTGGTGACATCAACTCGGTCCAGTGCCCCTTGGTGGGCTGCTCCCCGTGCTCTGTGGTGCTGGCTGTGGAGGGTCGTGGTCCTGCCCCCTGGGCACCTGCCCCTCCTGCAGGAGCGCCTGGGTCTGCACAGCTGTCTCCATGGCTGCCTCTGTTCTCCCACAGGGTGCCCTCTAAGGGTTTTGGAGACTGTGAGGTGTCACCTCTCACCATAGAGGACCCTCAAGTGTCCTGCCATCCACCATCTGGGCCCGATACAACCCCAGCTGCCTCGGGGCTGCCCACGGAGACACCCCGCGGCCCCCAGCCGGGCCCAGCAGCCCCCTCAGGCAGGGCTGAGAACCGTCTGCCCAGCTTTGACTTGAATGGCCCCTACCTGGGGCCCCCCCACAGCCGCTCCCTGCCTGACATCCAGGGCCCGCCGGCGCCTCCCCAGAGCCAGGAGCCAGCGCTCACGGGCTCCCTGGAGTACCTGTGCCTGCCCCCTGGGGGACAGGTGCAGCTGGTCCCCCTGGCCCAGGTGATGGGGCAGGGCCAGGCTGTGGACGGGCAGGGCCAGCGCAGCCCTGCGGCCCAGGAGACCCCCTCCCTGGAGTCCAGGGGCGGCCCTGCCCCTCCTGCCCCTGGGCTGGGGGTGGGTGAACAGGACCCAAAGCACAGCCCAGCGGCACTGCCCATGAGCTGTGGAGACCCTGAGGATGCTGGTGTGGCCTCTGCCTATGTCACCACGGCAGACCTGGCTCTTGCCCTGCCCACGGGGACCCCATCTGTCTCTCCGGCTCTGCCTCTGAGCCCCCCCTTTGTCCAGAACCCCAGTGTCTGTCCTAGGCCACCAGATGGGCCCCTTGGAGCCCCAGGCCCCGGGAAGCCAGGGTTCGAGGGCTATGTGGAGCTCCCTCCAACCATGGGCCAGTGCCCCCAGCCCCCCATGGGCAGTGCTGCCTCTCCTATGTCCAGCACCCCCATCCTGAGCCCAGGGGAGCCCCGGGAGGAAGTAGCCCTGGGGTCCCCACCTGCCGAGGGGCTCCTTGTCCTGCAGCAGGAGGGTGACTATTGCTTTCTCCCTGGCCTTGGACCTGGGCCTCTCTCACCCCAGCGCAAGCCCTCCTGCCCCGAGCCCTGTCCTGAGGTCAGGGACCCCAGGCAGCCCAAGCCCCACGTGCCAGCCATTCAGCTCTTCAAGTCCCTGAAGCATCAGGACTACCTGTCCCTGCTTCCCTGGGACACCAGCAGGCCTGGGCAGGTGTGCTGAGGCCTGCAGACCTCCCCCAAGCCCTGCCCTGTCCCTGTCATCCCTGCAAGGCCCGGGGCCTTCCATACTGAGATGGAGGGGCCTGGAGAATGCCCAGGCCAGCCTCGGGTCCTCCCCAGACGCCTTCTCCGCCGCTCACCTGTGCGCTCTCTCTCTCTCTCTCTCTCTCTCACACACACACACACACACACACACACACACACTTTTCTTTCAAGGGAACTGATTTTGAGGTTCTGGGCTGTTCTACCTCTACCTCCCTCCCATTTTTTAAAATTCATATTTCTTGCTTTTTTTTTTTCACTCTTGTTTTTTTTATTGATTCAGTTTTGGCGTGATTCGGGGGTCCTAGTGGGCCTCTTCTGAGTGCAGCTGTCTAGTTTGCCTAAGGACAGGTTAGCTGCGTGTCCCCAGCAGATGTACAGAGCCTGCTTCTCGCCCAACTGTAGGAGGCACGAGGTTTCAGGTGGGGCCTGGGGTGTCAGACCCTGGGTTCTAGCCAGATAGATGGGGGCTGGGAGGGGAGGGGAGCCCGGAACCCACATGGCAGAACCCACAACTGTAGAAAAGTTGGGGAAACTGCATTATGAGGAAAAAGGGGGAGACGATCAAAGGGTAGCCAGAAGACTTCCAGCCCAGCCGGGCCAGCTGCCCTCCCTCCAGGGAGACCGCCAGACTCTGGCTCCCACTGTCTGCTGCCGAACGGTGGGGCTTCCGCGTCTGGCCTTACCCTGGGGAGTTATGGTTCTATGAAATCTTTGCTTCTCTGATCTACAAATAATAATGGCATTACATGGTCCTTGTTGGCATTACCTGACCACTCTCGAGTTTGCACAGGGTTTTGGATGGATCCTGTCCATTGCTGTTTTTCGCGGGTTAAGCCCGTTACGGTTTTTGTTAGGTGGGACCCTCTCCTTGTCTGATGGGGTTTTAAAAACTGTTCTCGGATGGCCTTTCATCCATGGTGCCAGTGACTCTCCTGACCCCCCACCCCCGTTAGTTGTTCGTCCTAAACTTTGTGGGGGGACAACTTGGTGCACTCCGTGTTTGCTCCTCCGTTTGTCTGGGGGACGCCAACTCCTTCTCCTCTTTTGGTGCCAAGTTGACAAAGGCCTTGTCCATGGCAGAGCCGCTGCCTTTGCCCGACTTTTATGTCTCTTTTTATGTTTTAAGCATTTCATGTAAAATTTTAAGTATTTTGGGACCCACCCACGTGAGACAGGTGTGTCTCTCTGTTTTCCCCAACACAGAGCTGGGCATCTTTGCTGCTTTGGATTGTCCATTTGTGGTCCATGTGTCTGAAATGCACCTTTGTGAGGCAGAAAGTTCTGGAATGGACTTTGGTTTTTCTGGGCTTCCTGTCCTAGCCTCGCTGTCTCCACGGTCCCCACCGTCCTGATGGCCTGGTTCTGTGATTGGTTTTGCCAATGGGGGAGGGTGCCGGTTTCCTTTCTCCCTGGGTTCCCTTGCGTTAGAGTTGTGCTGTGGTTGAAGAGAATCGTGAACGACGTCAACAGCCATCGAGCCTCCAATCCGTCAGGGCCTGTTGGTGCCTTCCGTAGAGTTCAGTCTTCGGAAAATGAATGTATTAGAAAGCAATCCCCAAATGCCTGGACATTGTTAAGAGGTGAACATTGTAATAAAATATTTATAATGCTGTTGTGGGGCAGGTCGCTCAGAAAACACACCAAGTCCCAGGTTTGTCCAGACTGAAGAGTCTTTATTTAGCCGGCCAGTTGGTGACTGCCCCCTGCAGGACCCATAACTGTCTCTGCAAGGAACAGCCCTCACCCTGATCATTTTAGGATATTTAAAGGCAAAAACCACATCTGGGTTGACGTAGCTGCAAGCAAGCAGGGACAGGAGCTGGACTGGGCAGTTAGCGAGACAACACAGTGGGCACATTGGTATTTCCCAAGGGACTTTCCAGGTTGGCACAGCAGCGAGCAAGCAGAAGGGAAGTGGTCAAAATGACCCTAGTTGAGTGCCAGTCAGGGAATGGTCACTAACATCTAGACAATCTCTGACAAGGTGCATTGCCCAAGAAAAATGGAAACCAAAGAGAACAGTTTTACATGGTACAAGAGCTGCTATTTGAGTTGCCCAGTGTGTTATGCTAGGTGACTATTAATGGGTACAGAGGCGGGGCTCTCCCACGGGAGGAGCATTTCTTACAAGATACCGAGTCTCAGGGTGAAATGGAGTCCGGTCATTGCCCATATAGCCTGGCCCATAACAATATAAAGTAAAACTGAACCCAACCCTGTGTCCACGCCTTGGTGGAAAGGGGCATCCTAGGAGGCGGATTCTGTAAGACAGAAGGACACTTGGTCCCTGGGCCCTGCCGTGACTGCAGGGTCAGTTTGAGGGAGGGCTCTGGTTGGGACAGCGCACCTGCCGAGATCCAGGGTGGCAGACAGAGTGGGGAGCAGGTGGGCTTTTGCAAAACTCCAGGAGAGGGGGAGGAGCACACACCTGAAAGCAATCATTCACTGACCATCAATTCAAAGTTACCTGGGCATCCTGCGTGTGGCCGCTAGTCACAAGAATGCAGAACTAAGGAAGAGACTGAGTCACTCCTAAAATAGCTGAGAGGGGTTGAGAGCTTGTTCCGGACACCCTGGCTCCAGTGATTCATGGGACCAACTCATTCAATCTTCATGATCCTCTGATGGAGACGCTGTCCTCATCCTGCTTGGTTGTAGGAGGGAACTAAGGCACAGAGAGGTTATGCAACTTTCTACCAGTCAATCAGCCGGTCAGAAGCAGAGGCAGGATTCAAACCTTGGCCCTCAGGCTCAGAGCCTGCCCTTGGGAGGGAGGCCTTTCCTCTAAAGCTCCACATGTGGATGTGGGATGATCCGGGGTCCAGTGACATTTCCCCTGCCCTGTGTCTCCACATGGCCAGAGGCCACCAGCTGGAGATCTGGAGGGAGGCTGGACGCCTCTGGGAATGTGGAGTCACGGGTGCAGGGATGACATCCCTGGGCACTGGTGTGGGGTTTTGAGGAAACCCCATGTCGAGGGCTCAGGGCTGGGACGCCCCAGCTGACTCAGGGCTGAAGATGGCAGAGAGAGGCCTCACAGTCACAGTAAAGAGTCCCCACAAGTCACTAAGTGTCCACGAGGGGAAAACGGCCCAGTGACTTGAATGATCCCTAAAAATGACAGACGGCAATAAAGCAAGCTCAAAGGTGGGCTGTCCTCACTGGTGACTAGGCATATTCAAATTCAAATGAGATCCTTTTTTATTTTTGACTCACCAGATTGGTAAATATGGAGGGCGGAGAACCTCTGAGAACATCCAGAATTGGGGGAGGTGTGCGGTACGGTATTCTGATGCCACATTTTCCCCCCTGGTACTAGGGATTAAACTCAGAGGTGCTTAACTACTGAGCTAAGTCTCCCACTTTTAAAAATTCTATTTATTTATTTATTTATTTAGGTACAGGGGATTGAACCCAAGGGTGCTTAACCACTTTTTTTTCCCATTTTTTATTAGGAGACAGAGTCTCAGTAAGTTGCTGAGGCTGGCTTTGAACTTGCCATCCTCCTGCCTCAGCCTCCTGAGCTGCTGGGATGACAGGTGTGCGCCATTGTACCAGGCTTATGCTACTTTTAAAACAGATCACATTTTAGAGTAGTCTTAGGTTCACAACCAAATCGAGAACAAGGTCCACAGGTTCCCACCTACCCCCAGCCCCATCTTTCCTTCCCTGTGACTAACACCCTTGCACAGTGGTCTAAGTCTGTCCGGGCTGCTAAAATAAATAAATAAATAAATAAATAATTTAAAAAACAACCCACACAGGCTGATTTATAAACAACGGACATTTATTCCTCCCAGTCCTGGAGGCTGAAGGCCAAGATCAGATGCCACTGAACTTGGTGCCCAGTGAGGGCCACAGGGTGCCTTCTTGCTGTGCCCTCACTGTGCACGGGGTCTCTCTGGGGCCTCTTTTATAGGGGCCCTAACCCCAACCACAAGGGCAGGGTCCTCTGACCTAGTCACCCCCAACACCTTGTCTCCCCAGACGATGGCCCTGGGTTTAGGATTCCAACAGATGAGACTGGGGGCGGGACACAAGGCTCCACCGGTCCCAGTGGTGGTGTGACATTGGCTCCAACGGGTGGAACTCCGCTGATACGTCACGGCCACCAAAGCCCCTCATTTCCATTCAGGTGCACTCTTGGTGTCACGCACTCTACACATTTTGACAAACGGACACCTGCCCAGCCAGCACCCAGAGCAGGGTCACTGCCTGAGGGTCTTCCTGTTCCACAGCTCATCCCTCAGCCCCCAGCCCTGGTGACCACCAATGCCCATACTGTCCCCATGGTCACCTCCTTTCCAGAAGGGAGTCAGGGGTTCTAGGTACACCAGCATAACCTGGGGGCTCGTCGGCAGTGCCACCTCCCGGGCCTCGCCTCAGGCCCGGGACCCAAAAGCTCTGTCCTAACCAGCTCAGAGGCTGGCCCCAGGCACAGCTACGGAGGACCACCACCCCCTTCGTCACGACGGCCTTCTCGGGACACAGATCATCTCGGGAAGGAGCCGGGCACGGAACAAGGACGGAAAGCAGGTGCTAAGGCCCAGCTGCGGCAGAGGTGGCAGCCACACTCCCAGGGCTGTGGTCACTCTGCAGGCCAGTGCTGGCTTCATTGCTCGGAAGAGGGACATTATCCCTGGCCCTTAACACAGACCCAGGCAGAGACATCTGGTCAGGATGTGAGTGTGAGTGGCCCCTACCTCCAGGAGTGGGCAGCTGGCCTAGGGAGGGGCCTTCAGGAGCCAATACTGGAGAGGAGGTGGTGGTCACCCTCCTGCTGCAGGACAAGGAGCCCCTCGGCAGGTGGGGACCCCAGGGCTACTCCTCCTGGGGCTCCCCTGGGCTCAGGATGGGGGTGCTGGACACAGGAGAGGCAGCACTGCCCGTGGGGGGCTGGGGGCACTGGCCCATGGTTGGAGGGAGCTCCACATAGCCCTCGAACCCTGGCTTCCCGGGGTCTGGGGCTCCAAGGGGCCCATCTGGTGGCCTAGGACAGACACTGGGGTTCTGGACAAAGGGGGGGCTCAGAGGCGGAGCCGGAGAGACAGATGGGGTCCCCGTGGGCAGGGCAAGAGCCAGGTCTGCCGTGGTGACATAGGCAGAGGCCACACCAGCGTCCTCAGGGTCTCCACAGCTCATGGGCAGTGCCGCTGGGCTGTGCTTTGGGTCCTGTTCACCCACCCCCAGCCCAGGGGCAGGAGGGGCAGGGCCGCCCCTGGACTCCAGGGAGGGGGTCTCCTGGGCCGCAGGGCTGCGCTGGCCCTGCCCGTCCACAGCCTGGCCCTGCCCCATCACCTGGGCCAGGGGGACCAGCTGCACCTGTCCCCCAGGGGGCAGGCACAGGTACTCCAGGGAGCCCGTGAGCGCTGGCTCCTGGCTCTGGGGAGGCGCCGGCGGGCCCTGGATGTCAGGCAGGGAGCGGCTGTGGGGGGGCCCCAGGTAGGGGCCATTCAAGTCAAAGCTGGGCAGACGGTTCTCAGCCCTGCCTGAGGGGGCTGCTGGGCCCGGCTGGGGGCCGCGGGGTGTCTCCGTGGGCAGCCCCGAGGCAGCTGGGGTTGTATCGGGCCCAGATGGTGGATGGCAGGACACTTGAGGGTCCTCTATGGTGAGAGGTGACACCTTGCTGTTCCCAAAATCTGGGGAAGGCCACCTGTGGGAGAACAGAAAAGGACACTAATGGGACCTCTGAAGGACATGGTGGGGCTGGGGAATAGCAGGGGCTTCAAGTAGGCAGGAGGGCCTGGGAGAAGACCAGAGGCCCTCCACCCCTTCCCCAGAGGGAGGCCCTCCGCACCTCACCTGCTCCCTTCCCACTCCCCCGCCAACCCTTCTGGGTGCCACATCATGGCCCCTCAGCACCCAGCTGACCTCCCGCCCTTCAGCTGGGCCAAGGTCACAAAGTCAGGCCTTGGCCATTTTCCTATTCCAACCCTGGGCTCTGGCCACACGGAGCAGGGTCTCAGCTTGCTCACTGGGCTCCCCGTCACCCACTCCGGGCCTTCCCCCCCGCGCTCTCTGCACTTGCGCCTGAGTGACCTGTGCTCATGCACCCCCCAACCCGGGGCAGGAGGCAGCTGTTTATATCCACACCCTGACCCTTGAGTCCTTAGAGGGACCAACCACCCGTCCTTCACAGCTACCGCCCCAGGCCTGGCCGGCAGCAGCTCTCTGAGAGTGGCCTCCTTTTCTCTCCCCTGTTGTCACCTCCTGAAGGGAGGCGTCCCTCTGTGAGGACAGTCTTCCACAGGGAAGGACCAGTGGCCTCATTTGAGCCTCCCTCCAGGTCTGTAAGGTGGAGAGGAGATGCCCAAGCTCCCCTCCACTTGGGACCAAAGGAAGGGACGCAGTGCCCCAGCCGGCCACCCCTGCAATTCAGACACCAGAACCCAGGCTCCGGCAGGTGTGTGGAGTCGGGGAGGCTGCAGACCTGGCCACCCCGAGGCTGGGGCCTCCTGAGTGTCTACTGACCTGTAGCCAAGGGGCCAGAGCAGACGGATGGGCCCTCAGAGGCCAGGAAAGGGGGTCCAAAGCCACCCTTTGCCTTGCCCTGAGCTTTCCCCAGGGGACCTGTTGGCTTTGCAACCAATTAGGAAACAAAATCCTTGGAAAGGAATGAAGACTGCACCTGCCGTGCCCACTGCTGACCCCCACTGCTGACCTCCTCACTGGCACTGGAAGAGCCCCGTCCTGGCAAACCTTCCAACAGCTCTGCAGGTCTGAGGAAGGCCCGCAGCTTGCCCCTGACCTTAGCCTTGACCATGGAGAGAAGCTTGAAGGTGCCCGCCTGCCAGGGTCCACGCAGGGAGGTGTTGGGGGTCTGGGGGTCACTCACCTGAACCTGCAACCAGGACCCACCCACCCAGGGGCCTGGAGCCTCGGTGACAGAGGAGGAGATGTTGAAAGCAGGGGACAGTAAGCCGTTCAGTCGGCACAGTGCTGAGACCGGCTGTGGGAAGCCTAGGCCTCGATTCCACTCAGAAGAGTGGGCATCCGTGTCCTCAGTGGACAGTGACAGCCCATGAGCACACGCCTGGCTCAGGCCCAGGGGCTTCTGGGAAAAGGACAGCTGCTGCTGCCTGCAGAATGTCACAGACTGTCCCAGTGACCCTACAAGCTGGACACTCTCATAGCCACCCTGCAGATAAATTAATACCGTCGTGAGTTGATACTGTCACAGATTGGTTAACTCGGGGACAATGAGTAACCGGGACTCGAGTGACAAACCTCAGCTTCCAGGGAGAAGGAGTTATGTGCAGTGTCCTTGCCTGCCACCACTCCCTGAGCAGTGACACAACACTCTGGAGGACCCCAGTGGAGCTCAGGGCGGGTGTGCCCAGGGCGGGAAGTACTGCCCACCTCCCAGTGAGGGCGAGGCCCGGACCCTCTGAAGCCTGGCTTGGCAGCCCGGTCACAGCCCTGCTCAGAGGCACTGTCACCACCCTCCCTCCCTCTGTGGGTCCTCACAAGACAACGAGGTTGGTGTCATTGCCCACTTGAGGTGGAAGAAACGGTCAGTCAGGACCTGCCCAGCCGGGAGGGAGAGGCCCGGGCAGGAAGGACCTCGGGAGGAAAGACCCTTACGGCCAGGAAGGACCTGCGCGTGTGACCCAGGCTGCCCACTGTGGCCCCAGTAGGCAAGGAGGTGCTTGGCCTCCCTGAACCCAGGTCCCGCTGCTGATCACCAGGAAGTCACACACTGGCCCTGGTCACCACCCCACACCAGTGCCCTGGGGACCGGAAGTAAGCCTGGCTGATGACAAGCCCTTGTTATCATCACTGATCACAGGGCGAGTCCTCCACACCACCATCAAGGGCATCAGGCCCCAGACCTGGGGACTCACAAGTCAGGTCCCAGGCAGGGGACTCAAGAAACAGCATATGGAGGGTCCCCAAAGGAACCTGCATATTACAGAGGCCCCTGCCAGTGGCTGAGAGAGTCTGTGGTGTGGCACCTCCCTGGACAGGAGGGCAGGAGAGGTCATCGGCTCCAGGGCCCTGCCTCGCTCTGGCCTCTAACCTGGCAGTCAGGAAGTTCTGCCTGATGTCCACCTGGGTGCCTCCTGCTTCAGTGAACTCACCTCTGTGGGTCACTTCACAGTGAGCCCAGGACACCGCCTGAGACTCCTGACACACACTATGCACTGTCCCAACCGGATCCCCAGAGGCCCAGAGCCACCGCAGAGCCACACACTCACCTCTCCAGCTCAGGAAATAGGCTGTCCCAGGGCCCCTGGGCAGGCGGGCTCCTGCTGGGGGCAGCCCACAGGCTGGGTGGGGGCCCGAGGCCTGCACCCCCGTTCTGGAAGGGAAAGGACAGGGTGCCTGTGGGTGGGGGCGGGCTGCAGGACAGTGAGGGGGAGGGCCCTCGGTGAGCCCAGACCTGGGGGGACCTGCAGGTGGTCAGGACGGCCCCGGCCCCCTGGCACCAGGAGAGGGCGGCCCAGGGGGCTGTGAGTCCCCAGGTGCCGAGCTCCCGGGGACGGGGGGCCTGTTCCCAGGCTCCTCTCACCTGGGCGTCCCCCACTCTCCCTGTCCTCCCGCACTCTGCACGAGGCCCCCACAGCAGAGCTGCCCTGTGACCTGACCACAGGGCTCCGGGCACCAGGCACCGTGTCCCCAGGTGGTCGCCCCCTGGGAAGCCCAGCTTCATGCCCCCCAGCACCCTCACATGGGGCCTGTCTCCAGGGCAGGGCTGCTGCCCCTGCAGGTGTCCAGGGGCAGCTCCCTGCTGGCCAGGCCCCCAGGTGCTCAGGCCCGGCCCACCCACACCCTCCATGGCCCCCCACGGGAAGGGGAGGGAGGTGGCCGGACAGGGACAGGGGACACAGCAGCAGAGGAAGCCCCTCCCAGCCAGACCTACCTGGAACAGGTGGCTCTTGCCAGGGTTGGGGATCTTCTCCTTCCACTTCCTGTTCAGCCTGCAACAGCCACCAGGGAGGGGACAGTTGCCAGACACCTCAGGGCCAGTGGCTCCCGTGCCCAGGAACAGAGGGGACACTGAGGCTGGGGCGGGGGGAGATGGCAGAGCGGGAACTGCAGGGAGCCAGGCTCTGCCCTGGGTGGCCCTGGGTCCTGGTCACCCACCCCACATGGAGGGCCCTCACCTGTACCCGTAGACGCCACAGAAGCGCAGTGCCAGGAGCAGGAGCAGGGTGACCAGGACGAGGACGATCGGCAGCACCCACGTGGGCAGCACTGCCGGCAGAGGGGAGGGACACTCAGGGTGGGGAGGGAAGGCTGCAGGCTCGGGAGGGACCGGTGACCCCCAAGGCCCTGCTGGTCAGGAGGGGCTGCGGAGGCTCCCTGCGTGGGGTGGGTGGGGGAGGCCAGACCCCAGGAAGAGGAGGCTGGGTGTGAGCCCCAGCCCTGCTCAGGTGTCAGGGTGCCCAGGGTCTCGGGGCCTTGCCCACACCAGGGCTGCTGGGGGGGGGCACTCCCTGGACTTGGACGTCCAGGTACCAGGAGGATCTGAGAGGTGCAGAGCGGAGCAGGCAGCTGGCCGGGGGGGCAGCAGGTGCAAAGGCCCCAGGAGACTCCGCAGTTCCCGCTCTAGACCCCTCTCCTCTCCCCGGCCTCCTCCCTCCACCACGCCGCCCGAGCATGGGTCCTGGCTCCGTGCCTTGGGCTGAGGAGAGGCCGAGCATCATGGCAGAAAAGTGTGGCAGAGAAAAGCCGCTCGGCTCCTGGCAGCCAGGAAGCAGAGGGAGAAGGGAAGGGAGGAAGGGGCCAGGCCCAGGAAATACCCGCAGGGCACCCACTTCCAGTGCCCGGTGACCTGCTTCCTCCAAGTGGCTCCCACCTCCTGCAGCTTCCCTCACCTCCCACAGCCCACTCACATCATCCATCAAGTGGATTAATCCATGGATGCTGTTAGAGTCCTCACAAGCCCATCAGTTCACCAAAGCCCCACCTCAGGGCACTGCTGCTCTGGAGACCAAGCCTGCAATCCAGGAGGCTCTGGGGGACACTGCCCACCTAAATCACAGCATTCAACCCCTGCAGAATGGACTCCATGTTCAAAGTTCCAGCATGGATCAAAAGTCTCTCCAGAGTCTAGGCCAACCCTCAACTGTGAGCAACTGTAAAAATTAAAAAGCAAGTTACACGCCCTCCGAACAAGGGAGCCGATTCAGCCTTCCCATTCCACAATGGAGGAAATAGGGGCAGAGAAAGATGGACTGGGCCCAAAGCAAGGTGGAACCCTGCAGGTCCACATCCATCCTGAGCTCCACGTCTGTTATCTGGGCACACAGGGTGAGACGTGGGCCCCACAGGAGGTCTGACCACTTCGCCGGCTGCAGCCCACCTGGCCTCTCTCTGGAGATGGCTCTTTTCCCCGCCGGAACCTTTCCTGGGGGACCTTCCTGTTCCTGGCCTCACCTTCTTGGGGTTTGCATTACAGTTTCTGATTCTCTACAGATTCCCCTGCTGCCCTCACGGGGGCTGCCCCAGGGGTTCCACCCTCCTACCCACTGGGTGGCTTCCCGGGCAGTCTTGGTGGAAGCCTCGATGCCCCCTAACTCTGGTCAAACTGCAGATTTTTAAAATCTTTCTGCTTTTCTCCCTTCCAACACTCACTATAAAACTGGCTAAAGCCACCAGAAACACCCAAGTCACCACCTGAATGCTGTTCTTCCACCAGATTAATTAGTTCATTGGTTTTAAATTTAGCCTCATAGAAAGTCTCAGGATGTGGACAAAATGTAGACGGTTCTTCACCAAGAGATACAGAGAGGCTCATGGCCTCTCGTCAGTTCCCAGTGGAGTCCTCATTCTCACGTGCAACCTCATGAGCACAGTCTTTACTGTCCCTGTTCCTGACAACATTCTGGTCCTCCAAGATCACGTCGGAAAGGTCCACTGAAGTCTGCTGACAACATCCTAAGATTTCCGCTGCCTGCGTCTCCTCCTGTAAATCAGTGTCAAAGGCTCCTAGACCACGTGGCCATATATATTCACAGCAAGGGTCCCACTTCTCAGGACCAATGTCGACTTTATTAGTCACTTTTCTTCACTGTGGCCAACATACCTGACACAGACAACTTAAGAAGAGGACGATTTTACTTTAGCACACGGTTCAGAGCTCATAGCCCATGGGCTGACGGCTCCAGGGTCTTGGGCCTGAGGAGAGGCAGAACTCACGGCAGAAGGGTGTGGCAGAGAAAAGTCTCTCAGCTCCAAGCAGACAGGAAGCAGAGGGAGAAGGAAGAAATACCCTCCCAGGGCACCCTCCAGTGCCCTCGGTGACCCACTGCCTCACTTCCTCCAGTTGCCTTCACCTCTCCACAGTCCACTGAGATTACCAATCCATCAGATAGTAATGAAGTTAGAGTCCTCACAGTCCAAGCCCCACCTCTGGGCATTGCTACTCCAGGGACCAAGCAGAGAATTTGGGGGACATAACCATAATAGTCACCATGAGAAAGGTTAGGGGCAAATTAAAGCGACAAGTGTAGAGAAGAGACAACACTGAATCTTCAGAACAAAAGTTTCCAATCCTAGATCCCAGTCTCTAGCACCTGAGTGTTCACTGCCATGGTAACAGGAAACCAGGATGACCACCGCGGGGCAGAGGCTGCCGAAAAGGCCAGTGAAATCAGGGGCTGAATCAATAGAGGTAGAAGCCCTATTTGAAGGAGGTGTGATAAGGAGACCTACTCTCCTCTGCTCTCTCAAGTCCTCACCTGCCGTGTGTGGCAGGCCAGGTGTCACTTCCAGGGATTGGTGATACATTAGGAGGAAGGAGTTCGGGTGGAGTGGGGGTCTGGAGCCTCCCTGCCCACGCCTCCTGTGTCCTCTGCCTAATGGGCTGACCCAGGAGGGGCAGGTGGGCCCTGGACATACCCCACTCTGTGGTCCAGGAGGCAGCCTCACTCCACTCGCTCCAGATGCCGTTGTAGACGCCGGGGGTGGGCCTGACCCTCACCCTGGCCCAGTACCGGGTGGAGGGCTCCAGAGCTGGCAGGGCCATGCTGTGGGCGTTCTGCAGGGTCTCTCTCTTGCTGTCCTGTGGGGGCAGGTGGCTGAGGTGGAGGTGCTGGCCAGGTGGGGGCCACAGCAGCACACCCCTCCCGCCCCTGCCCGGGCCCCCTTCCTCCCCTCCGTCCCATGGAGTCACGTGCAGCCCTGCACGGCCTCCTGCCCCCCAGGACCCTGCTCCAGCGTCCACTGTAGCACAGCGGTCCACCAGGGCCAGACCCTGCCCTCAGCCCCGGGGGAGCACCAGGCCCAGGCCCTGGGGACCTCCTGGCCCACCCCTGGAGACGCCCAGCCCACAGGTGGTCATTATGGCTGCTCCAGGAACACAGTGCAGTGGGCCAGTCTAGCCCTGAGGCGGGCGCTCAGGAGTCTGGAACCTTCTCCTGGCTCCACCCTGACCCACCCTCCTGGCCTCAGTTTCCCCATTCCCTGCTTGAAGCTCTGGGGTGGCTCTGCTCAGGGCTCAGAGGAGCCGGGGGTCTGCACACAGGACCCCAGGTCTGCCTGGAGTGTGGGGATCTGGTGCCCTGGCCTGGGACCCCCTGCCCCTCGGGACCCGCTCTGCTCCACACCAGGGTCCAGGCAGGACTCCCCTGAAGCACGTGCCCAGGACTCGGCAACTTCCCAGGGACCCCCATCCCAGCGTCTCGGCCGGCCCTGGGGGTCTCAGCCCCGCTGCATCCCAGTGGGCTCTCAGGGGACCTCGCCCCCACCTCTGAGCATCAGCTCCTTCACCTGCTGACCACACAGGGACACGGCCCCCACAGCCCAGTGGTGACCTCTGCCTGGTCCCCTGCTGGGCCCAGGTGCATCTGGGCTCCTTTGGGGTGCTCTCTCTCCCTCTGCTGCCGCCCCATGAAGCCCTCCCCGGGCGCAGGCTCACCTCCCACTTCTCTGCGTCCCTCCGGTACTGGACCTCAAAGGTCTGTCCGAGGTGTGTGTAGTACATTTTCTCCACTTGCCATCGCAGGCTGTAGCTGTCTCCGTCTTTGGTCACTTTGAGGGTTGGGCGCTCCATCTGGACTGGGGGAGGGAGACTTTTAGGGGTGGCCGTGACCAGGCCCCTCAGCAGAACATTCCCGTGGTTCAGGATGGCCATTCTGCGTGTTGTCCTCCCCAGCCGAGGCCCCAGGTCCCAGCCATGGGGGCCTTTGTGTTGCCTCGTGTCACCATTCCCCTGGGGACGCCCAGCCTGACTCCCGGTGTGCAGAGGCCCACAGCCTGGCCTCCTCCCCGTGCTCGGCGTCACCACACGGCCACCTCGGTCAGCTCTGGCCTGGCCCAGGCGCCAGGCCCCGTGCCCCAGCCACGTACCTGCTCACGTGAAGGGGGTTGCCCACGACAGGCAGCTCTGCAGTGGAGCGACAGAGATCAGACCTGATATGTGATGCCGCAGCCCTTGGCCCCCCTGTCCCCACGCTGCTCCAGAGACTCTCAGAGCTGCTCTGAGACCTGCTCTACTCTGGGCTCCGGTCCCTTGCGCCCCAGAGGGTAGGGACAAGTCTGAAGCCAGCAGTGGCTCACAAGCTCTCCCCTGCAGAGTCAGCCCACATTAGCTGCAAGGACCTCGGATGACATCTAGGGGACCCTGTCTCCAACCACATTGTGGCTAAACAGAAAGGTGAAGCCCATTTGGGACAGCGTCTCCCACGGCCAGGAGACCACAAGTTAGGAAACTCAAAGGACAGAGAAAGCAGAAACTAGGTGTTGACTCAGGAGTTCTGTTTCAGCCTCAATTTGCCTCCTGCTAGCGGTGCGACGTTAAGTAAGTTACTCGACCACTCTGAACTTCAGTCTATCAATCAGAAAGAAATACAAATAGAGAATGCTCATCACCTGATGACTCTGTGGGGCTTTTACAAAAACAACGTGAATGTCTCCATGTTGCTAAATTATCCCATGGACCAAGGTCACTCTAAGTCCTTTATATATTTTGTGCACTTGAACCATAGGAGTCCCTTGGTGCAGGGGCAACCCCCAGAGAGCAGGTGGTGGATTTAAACCCAGGTGACAAAGACAAACTAGCTCCTGCCTTTGTCAGGCCTGAAGAGTAGATGGAAAGCCAGGCACAACGGCACAGGCCTGCAGTCCTAGTGACCTGGGAGGCTGAAGCAGGAGGATCACAGGTTCAAGGCCAGCCTCAGAAAGTTAGTGAGGCCCTAAGCAACTTAGAAAGACCCTGTCCCAAAGAACACCAAGGGCTGGGGAGGTGGCTCAGTGGTAAAGTGCCCCTGGGTTCAACCCCTGGTTACAAATATAGAAAATAAACGAACTCGGCCATCATGTGGAGCGGACCCTTGCATGGGGGTCCCTGCTACGTCACAGAAATGAGTGACATCCACCTGCCAGATCCCAGTCCTTCTGCAGAAACTCGAACCCCGAATGGAAATGGAAATCACAGATCACGATTTAGAAGACTTAATCAGTCAGAGGAGAACTTGGAAATTAGTCAGGTCAAAACTCCAATCCGGGTCTGGAAGGGGGATTTGGGGTGGGGAGCAGAGGGGGTCTGAGGGGGCCAGGAGAGGAGAGAGCCGGGCACCAGGGGCCTGGCTGACGGAGCAGAGCACTTTTGGCCACTGGACCCCATTCCCTCTCAAGGGAGAACCGCAGGCCGGGGCAGGGGTACCATGCACGTGCCCAGGGGTCACGGTGGGGTGACTGGATTCACGGGGAGGACCAGCCGGCAGGCACCCCACGAGCCGGGGCCAACTCACTGTTGTCCGAGCTCTTGATGAACCTCCCCTCCCTCCGTGGACGGACAGAGACGACGTACAGGCCGCGGGCCCCGGGGTTGGGCACCGGGATCTGGCACCGGAGCCGGGTGTACAGGCCGCTGAGCTCCTCCTTCAACACCGGGGCACATTCCTCCTCCCTGAGGGCAGGGACAGGGAGGGACACAGGAGGGACCACGGGACAGCTGAGACCTGGGCTGAGTCCCAGCGTCCACCATGCCCCAGGGACAGGAGGAGGCCTGGCCAGGGCAAGGCCAGAGCAGGGAAGGCCGGAGAGGGGACGGACACTCACTGTGCCTCTGGGCTGGACGCGTAGAAGAGGCCGAAGGAGACGGAGCTGGTCACGGGGGACCTGACCTCCCAGGAGCAGCCCAGGGTGTGGGCCCCGTCGAAGACACACTGCAGGTTCCGGGGCTGGGCCTCGTCCCCTGGAGGGACACACCCCTCGGTCACTGCCCTTCCTCCCTCCAGAGCTCTGGGGACACCAGGTGACTGAGCACAGGGGACCCCAGCTTTGGGGCAGCAAGTGCGGGCTTGAGCCTTGGCCTGCAGCTGCCAGGTGCCCACAGCCCAGAGGCCGTGGGACGTCCACCCATCCCTGAGGCAGGGACGGGCTCCAAGCCTCCTCGTGTGGGGACTGGACACAGAGACGGGGCCAGCCCTGCACGTGGTGCTCATTCACACACAGCGGCCAGCAAGGCTGCTGTGACCATGACGTCGTGGTTGTCACAGAGAGTGCAGGACACGGAGCCCGCAGGGGCCATGACGGCCTGGCAGCCGCCCGAGCACATGGGTTGGCCCCGGAGGCCCAGGACACGCAGCCGCAGGTGCCCGCAAGGCCACGAGTGGACTCCTGGGCCCCGAGTGCCCGGGAGACCCGTCCTAGGACACCTCCCACGTGGACCCCAGTACCTGGCTGCGAGTCCCAGAGGATCTCGGGGCTCCAGCGGCTGGGCCGTCCCGAGAAGCGCGAGCTGGGGGCCAGCCGCGTCCGCACTCGGGCCACGTAGGTGCTGCCGGGCACGAGGAGCTCTGCGCCCAGGACGGCCGGGGAGGACCGGGAGTAGAGGCTGGTGGCCTCCTGAGGGAGAGAGGGGCGCTGCAGGAAGGGCCAGCCTGGCGTCCCCCGGCACGGGCAGAGCTGACCCCATCCTACCTCCCAGGAGTCGCTAAGCCGCCTGTAGACCACCTCGAACTCCAGGTCCCCCTGCGACAGCCAGGGTGTCTGGGGATCCCCGAGGGCCACACTCCAGGTCAGCAGGAAATGGTCCCCGGTCTTGCTGATCTGGGGGTCCTTGGGTGGGGGCGGCTGGACTGCAGGGAGGGAGCAGAGGGTACGTGAGGGCCACGGGGGCCACCAGGGACGGGTCCCAGCCCAGAGCGGCCCAGCAGCACGGTGACCATGGGCAGGAGCCCTGGCCCTGTGGCCCTTCCTCTGCAGAAACGTGGGGTGCAGTGAGCCATCTGGGGTCCGGGGCCGGCTGCTGTGCCAGGGAGCCATCTCCAGTGCCCATCGGTCTGTCGGGTCCTCCTGGGTGACTCCACCAGAGGCTCCTGAGAGCCACGGCTGCTGGTCCCCCCCGACTGGGAGGCTCATTGCTGGGGGGTGACTTTCAAATACCAAACCTCATGAAGGTAAGTGGTGATGTCCCATGTGGACGGGGACCTGGTCTGAGCTGGGGCCTCGGAGCAGTCACCAACCCAGAATGTCAGGGCACAGCACAGAACCAGCCTGTGCCCAGCCCCAGCCAGGACGGGAACCCATGATGGAGGGCTGCGCTCCCCGCCCTGGGGCTGACAGGGAGTGGGGGCAGAGCAGCCAGGGAGCAGCCTAGGGACCAGTTACTCCCCTGGTCATCCCCGATGTTCCCCCTCCTGGTCCTTCCTCAGATGGGGAAAGCGACAGAGGACATGAGGTGTCCAAGGTCTGTCCCGGGGGAGCCTCCTATGCCAGGTGCACCCCTGTGCCCTCCCAGCCCCTGCCAGCCTCCCCGATCAGAGCCAGCGAGCTTCAGGCTGGAGCGAGGTCCCTACGGGCTGGACATTGACGCAACCTGTTTCCAAAGCCCCTGCACCTTTCCTGCAGGTCTGGGGTGGAGCCCAGGTCCCAGGCTCCCGAGGCGAACCCTGGCCTCTGTGCGACACCAGCCCGCACTTTGTCTCCTCTTGGCACTGACTCCCTGGAGCCATGGGTCTGAAGAGCCGCCCGCGTGTCCCTCAAGTGCACAGCAGACACAGCCTCACTGTGCAGGGCAGCCGCCTGCCCCCCAAGCCAGAGGGCGGCGTGAGCCCCACAGACCACAGCGTGGCCCCCGGGACCCCAGAAGGGCTCAGGGGACCACCCGGATCTGCGGTGGAGGAAGCCCAGGGAAAGTGGACCGTCCCTGTCAGTGGTGACTCTGGCGCTGCCTGGGCCTCCGGGGCCTCCTCCCCAGCCAGGGCTGCTGTAGAGATGAGGGGCGGTGACGAGGACGGAGGGTCCTGCCAGCGAGGAGCTTCCTGTGAAGCCCAGGAAGGGCTCTGCCTGGAGGGAAGCTCTTGGGCGGGAGCCAGGGGCCTGCAGGTGGCAGGAGCAGCAGGCAGGGGAGGGTGGGCAGCGTCCTCACGTGGCACCTGCCCTGATGCCTCCACTGTGAGGACACCATCTCCTGTGCCCCCAGGACAGTGTCCAGCCCGTGGAGACTCCCTCCCTGGCCACCTCCTGTAGCCCGGTCACCCTGGTGCCCCTGTGTGGACAGGGGCCAGCCCCTCACCGTGCTGGGTCAGTGGCACCAAGAGCTGGATGCCCAGCGGCCGGTCTGGTTGGAAGAAGTAGTAGTCGTGGTCAGCGAGGGCAAATTCCTGGTAGGGAATGAGGCACTTTCTGTGTACACACTGGTGAGCTGGGCAGTCCCCCGAGGACATGTCCTCACTGAGCTCACAGGACACTGGCTGTGGAAGGTCCCTGTTAGGAGAGGACAGGGTCAGCTAACGTGCACTAGAGTCCTCCATTCATCAGACAGTCACTGAACGGCTGCCACATGCCAGAGTCATCCAGGGTCAGGGGTTGTCACTGCATATGGCAGATCCCTGCCCCCGGCCACCTGGGGACAGAGGCACTGATGATGGAAGGAGCAGGAACCTTCCCAGCAGACTGTGGTGTGCAGATTTTCCCAAGGGCATCCAGAAGGGGTAGTCGGGAAGGTGTCTGAGGGAATGGCCTCTGGGCTGAGCCCAGGACAGGGCCCAGGGCCTTGCTGGCCTGCAGAGCCAGAGGGACAAGGGACAAGGAACAAGAAGATGGCCCAACCAGACAGGAGGAGCCAGTGAAGGGGCATTAGGATGGGGGCAGTCACGTGCCTGCGGGACGCTCATGGGTCAAGTGTAAGACGGGCTCAGGTCCAGGTCAGGGACGGAGGTCACTGGTGACCTTGACAAGGGGAGAGGGGAAGCAGGGGGTGAAGCCTCACCAGAGTTTCAAGGGAGATTCCTGGGAAAACGCGTCGTGGACAGAGGGAGGGGCTGGGGCTGTGGGGACGGGGACGCAGGGCCTGGAGCTGCCAGGGCTGCCGTCACTGTTGGCATCTGGAGCCCGGCATCGGACCACACTTACAAGGTCATGGGGATAAGCCTGGGGGAGGGCACCGATGGCACAGGGGGTGGGGACAGTGGTGGCAGCCACGTCCTTGAGCAGTGAGACCTGAAGATCCAGGTCGGGGCTCAGAGTGGCTGGGACATGACTCCCTGCAGGGCCGGGGACACTGACCAGGCCAGGTCCAGGGAGGTACAGGTGGGGGGAGCGGGGGCTCCCCTTCCAGGCTTCTGCTGTCTCAGGGGGGAGGGGAGGGTGGCCCTGGGGGACAGGGGAAGGCGCATGGAGGACTCAGGACAGCAGCAGGGAACCCTGGAGGGGAGGCGTGGGGTGTGGAGAGATGGCTCCTTGGGACTCGCCCTTGACTGTGTCATTTGTGGCTGATTCAGATCCCCAACAGGCCAGAGTGAGGTCAGCCACCCCCAGTGGCCTGCACCCAGCAGCCATGGGACGGGGGCGGGGGACCCCTCATGGGGAGGTGGTGGGGCTGGGGACACTGCCTCTGTGCTGCCGCCTGTCCTGACCACCCTGTGGCCGGCCGGGGCCTTCCCTCCCTGGGCTCCGTCTCCTCCTCTGTGAACTGGGCCTGGTGTCCTTGCCCCGTCCACCTCCGGGGAGGAGGAACTAAGTCAGTGGTCGCCATCACCTCCACCACCCCTTTAGCATGGAAGGCTGTAAGCCCCCAGGACCCCAACATCAGACACCAGCGCTGGGCCCGGAGGTCCGGGGGCCATCCTCCTCCCTTGTCCTGTGAGTGGTCCAACCCGATGCTGACCGACACGCCCCTCTCCACTCCACAGCATGGGGGACAGGCACAGAGACAGGGCAGGTCCCCCCTGTGTCCCGGCTCCCAGGGCCACTCACCCATTCACCCTGCGATGGAGGGTCAGGTTGAGCAGCCGCAGGGCGTCCTCCATGTCCGCCCACCTGCAGACGATGCGGCTGGTGTAGTTGTTGTAGCAGCGCAGCGTCTTCAGCGGGATGGTTTCTGGTGGGCAGAGCAGGAGGGGTCACTGCTGTCCCCTCAGTGTCCCTTGTCACCACCCCAGCTCCTCGGGGATGTGCAGCCCTGGGGAGGGGTCTCCTGCCTTCCTGCAGAGGCCCTGGGCCTGTGTGGGCTGGGGGCTCTGAGGTGGGGACAGTCCTCTCCTGACAGGAGCACAGATGAGCTGGTTCTCAGCACATCAGGGACCTGCCTCGTGCTGCTCCAGGTCCCTCAGGACAGGGACCCGCCTCATGCACAGGTCCTGTCCCCAACCCCATGTGCACCAGGGAGGAGAGGCAGGCCCCGGCCCAAGACACCACAGGCACTGCCCGGCCCTGGGCCCACTGCCCCTGCCCTCAGCCTGCCAGGCTGGGCGTGGAGAGGGACTTGGCTCCTGGGGTCACCACAGAAGTCAAGTTCCCTGGGGGCTAAAGTGGAGAGAACCCAGGACCCGGAGGCGGGACCCTGAGGCCACCAGAGGATGGAGGGTCTGTGAGGAGGGAGGGAGGACAGAGGGCGCTGGGCCAACCTGGAGGCAGGGCCTTGGGGGCCACACTGAGAAACGTGGGCAGAGAAGTGACCATGCCTCAGCCAGGCTCTCCAGGAGGCCAGGAAAGGGGGGCCAGGGACATGGGGACAGGGGCGGTGCCCAGGGAGGAGGAAGAGGACGGGCAGAAGAAATGAGGGAAGCCCAGGGAGGAGGGCCAGAGCCTGGTTCTGGGAGCTTCTGGGGTCCAGTGGGAGTGGCCCCCTCAGGGCCCAGAGTGAGGGGGAGGGGAGAGGGAGGGAGCCGTGTGACTCACCTTCTGCCCCTGTCACCCACTGGCCCCAGGGAGCCTGCAGGGCCAGGAGGAGCAGCCCCCAGGTCAGCGCCATCTCCCGGTCAACTCTGGAAGTGCAGGCGGGTGACACAGGTGAGTGATGGACAGGCTGGGGTCACATGGCCTAGAGTCCTGTGTCCTTCACAGCCAGAGGCTGGCCAGACCCAGGGGGCCAGCTCTTTGTTCTCTGTCCTCTGCTAGCGGTTCCTCACTCAGGGCCTAAGGAAGGCGTATGGAACAGGATCGGACGGGCCTCCTCCCCCGACTCGGCCAGGAACAGGGCAAAGGCTGCGCTGGGGGGAGGGCGGCCTGAGCTCCTGCCCTGGAGTGGCCTCTCCTACCTGGCCTGGGTCTCCTCATCTGTCCCCTGGCGTTGGTCTGAACGCTGTGCTTGGCACTCTGCTCTGGGGGTTTGCACCCCACATGATTCTGATGGGTATAATTTGGGATCCTCTTCTGATGGGGGGAGGCAGGATGCACAGTCACCCTCTGGGCCACCCCTCTCCCAGCATGGAGTGCCCAGTGTCCTTCATCCCCGGCCCCAGCCTGTCACTGCCTGTTCCCTGGGTGCTGCAGGAGTCGAGGCGGCTCCTGTTTCCTTTGTGATATCTTCAGAGTCAAATGTCTCATCTTCTCTTCCCCCCAATTTTTGAAACCCACAAAACACACAAGCATGCACACCTATGCACACCGCCACACACCTGCTCAGGAAAGCATGATGCAAACTGACGTCCCGAGGCTCTTAAAAAAGTTAAGGGAAGGCGGGAGAAAAGGTAGCGGAAGGGGAGATGGGCTCCAGGGCTCTAGGTGAAGAACGATCATGTCTCACCCTCCGTCAGGCCTCTCCATCCCTCCCCTTCTTTCTCTACATCTAGCAAACCTGCCCTCTTGCTTTACTCCAAGTCTCCGTGTGCCCTGCCCTCGCACAGCTGAACAAACCACACCAAGAGAGGGGATCGGCCATTCACACCCGCAAATTGCAAGAACCGGGGTTCTCTGTCAAGTCCTCGGGGCTGTCGGGGTGGGAACGGTACCACTGAATGGTAGCAGCCACTTTTTTTGTTGTTTTTAAATTGTTGATGGACATTTATTTATTTATTCATTTATTTTTATGTGGTGCTGAGAATCGAACCCAGTGCCTCCCACTTGCCAGGCAAGCACTCTGCCACTGAGCCCTGGGCCCAGCCCAGTACCAGGCACTGTACAGCACTGTACAGTACGGAGTCCAAGCGCCCCTACCCTGACCACTCCCCAGTAGCTGCAGACCTTTGAGGATTGTTAAAGACCACTCTGCCATTTAGTGAATAAAAGGAAGGGGGTGCAGGGGACTGGGACCTGAGCTCAAGGGCTTTTCTCAAACAGCGGTGAAGAAGTTACGAGCCTGGGCACAGCGGCCCGAGAGCGATCCTACAAACTGACGTCTCCAGCTGCCCTGGTGGGTCTGAGGCCAAGGGCAACAGAAAAGCAAGAGTTGCCTGAGGATCTTGGTCACAGTGAGGAAAGTGAACAAAATACAGGAAGACATTCAGAAACAATCACCACAGTGACATGTGGCAGCAACCAACCCTGTGTCTCTGCCAGGCACTTGGGAAGCAGGTACACTAGCTAAGGTTGGGGCTGGAAAATGTGCCGAGGGACACGCGCTGCTGACTCCCTACGCGCATGGGCCACAGGGAAGGAAAGCTCTCTGGTCCCCAGCGAAGAGGCAGTGCTCCTTGTAATGGCTCCGACACAGTGCTCGTACGTGACCCTTGTTCTGCCGAGTCACAAAGCAAGCACAGCCAATCCCCCACATAGCAGGGGGGCAGCTCTGAAAAGGTGGCTGTGCAAAGGTGACCTCATTGCACCTCATGCGCATTGGAGGGCAGACACAGACAGAGGACCACGGCAGGCCCGGGCTGTGGAAAGCCCCACAGAAGGCCACCACGCATGGCTTTGAAATGCTTTGCACCACGTGTGGTACCCTGCTGATGTGAACGATGACAAGGAGACATGCTCTACTACTGGTCAGATGGTACAGGAATGGGCCCAAAATTTGGATGCGTGCTGTCCTTTCCTCTGATCTTATGACCCAAGCGCAACAGGACTAATTGAGTGAATGGGTGGGTGGCCCCCAGAACAATGGGTGGGTCCTTGGCAATGTGGACCAAGTGACCGTGATGTCCATCAAATGGACATGGCCATAGCACACGGCCCACTGCCTGCCAGACATCAACATGAGGACCTGATAATGCCATCCAGATGTAAGCAATGGGGCTTAGAGAAGACACCTCACTCCACAAACGAGAACCCTGGGTGAACTGCTGTCACTGTTGATGCAGGACCTGCCACGGGGGCCCAGAGAGTCTGCTGGCCACAGGAAGAGCAAATAAGGCCTCAATGGTGTGGGTCCCGGGTCCCTGGGGAAAGGGCTAGAACGAGGCATGGAACTAGAGCCCAGAGGTGCAGGGTCACCTCTTCCTTCTAATAAAATGACTAACCCAGGGTTAGTGTTAGTCACTAGAGAAGGACCTGTCACTTCACTGTGGTCTGTAACAACCCCCCTGCAGAGACCACAGGGACAAAGGGGGCACAGTACTGTGAGCCTGGGGTGGGCCCAGGCTGGTATCTTCTTCCCTGGTCTCATCAGGTCGCTTGGTTATTGTTGACCAATCAAGATTCCCTCTCTATAAAGCCTCTTGCAATCCACCCTTAGAGCTCCTCTGTCCCAGAACCGGCGACCCTGGCAGAAACCCAGAACCACACCAGCCGCTGGGCCTGCAATGCACTTCCTTTGTCGCCCCCTGCTGGTCTCTTTGGCATCTACAACCAGCCGTCCAGCTGCAAAGGACAGGCGCTGCAAGCTAGAGCACTGCCCGCTGCTCAACTGCTGACCAACTGCCCTTCGGACCTGGACGGAGACTTACTTTCTTTTAAGGACACCAACATGCCTTCCTGTCGGTATGAGGGCAAATGAACCTGGCCGAGCTTTGCCAAGGTGCACTGTGCTGGGTGGCGCACAGAAACCGCAAAGCCAAAGGGCACGGGTGAGGGCATTCCCCACGACCCCGTGGGGATGGAGATGGGCATGTGGCACCGGTAGATGGCCACATGTGCCTTATAATTGGAGTGGCTTAGGGAACAGCCCACGTGCTTCCCAGGTCACCTGCAACCCTACCTCCTGGGAGTGAGAGACGCTCTGCAGAGCAGCAGCCTCGATGTGGGGCTCCAGGCAGCGCCCCCATACTCTCAGAGCGTCACTCAATGAAGAATCCAGAGGCAAAAGGGGAGCTTCAGAGCAGAGTGGCACCAGGGTGGGGACTGCAGCCTGGGCCCTCATGAAAACAGGGTTGTGCATGCACCCTGACCATGGTCATGAGGAGGCCTTGGCCCTAGGTCAGACTCACATCACCACCATAAATGAACATCCTGATCCTGCTTCTGCTGGGTTCCAGTCCCCTCCCGGCCGGCTTGCTCTCCCAGCTCTGCTGGCTGTAGTTGGTTGCTCTTTGTACAGTGATGGGATTTGGCTACGACCTACATCCCCCTGTGCCACCTTAGGGACGTCACAAAAGCTGGAAGATGGGCGCAATGAGATTGTAAGGGCATTCAGGCACATGGCGGGTGGGTGTGTCACCCTTGGAGGAAAGGAGGACAGGAAAACACCCTGTCCTCGCGGTTCTCAACAGCCGAGTCAAGTTGAGGCACAGTGAGAGGAGCCTGGGTCAGAATGCCCAGACACGTGTTCCCCCGAATGGTCCTGGCTGTCCCTGGTGTATCCTGGGAATTGGGGCAGATTAGCGCCGTCTATAGAAAGCTGCTTTCTTGCACGCGTGCCAGGTCCTCTGGATGCTGGGACACAATGGGACAAAGGCCGCTAAGCTGAGGCTAGTTCTGTAGCCCAAGCTACAACCCTCACCTTGCGATGCCCGGCGCAGATCGGAGCGCTGTGCAGAGGGAGGTGCTCATCTAGCCGCCACTGGACAGTGTCACGAGGGAACCGAGCATGTCCTTTGGCAATGCATAGGAGGCCCGTGTGCGACCGAGGTGCACTGCCCAGCCCGTCGCCATGACTGTTCCCAGGAGCCTCACTCCATGAGCCCTAGGTCTCCCGTGGCATCTGTCAGCAGCTTAACCGACTCGCACACCTGGCTGTGGGCCGTACAGACGGATTCAGTTGTAAACCGTCTTCATTCAGGATGCTACTCACGTAGACAGAAAATCTTAAGTGAACTATTTTTAAAAAGCTATTAAAACCAGTGAATTGAGGATAGAGGACAGTCTGCCACCCTGGGGAGTCCATGTTCTCATACACCTCTGCACAAGGGCAGCTCCGAAATTGCCCTCCCCAGGCCACACCAAGCTTGAACCTGACTGGAGCCGAGTTCCCTCCTCTGCCGTCTTCTCCCCCCACCAGTGAGGTCCCTTGCACATGCGCACGCGCACACACACACACACTCTCGCACATCTGGGGGGCAGAGCTGGGTCGCAGAGATCATCCTCTCCGATGTGCCCTGCGTAAAGATGGGGAGGCAGAAGCCCCCAGGGAGGGAAGTATTCTCACCGTCACCCACACCTTCAACACAGCACCTCTGTGGCAAAGCAAGGGACAGAGCAGGGAACTGATTCCCACGCTCTCTCCTCCAACCTCCCGTTGCCTGCCTGAGGGGCTTGATCCCCGTCCTCCCCAAGCCCCCAAAGCAAGCCGCCACTTGACACCCCCAGCTCCCTGTCCCTTCCCTCCTGGACTCCCCCCGCCCAGCCTGCCCTGGGACCCAGGCCCTACCTCTATGAGGGGGACAGGCCAGCCTCCTAGGGGAGCCTCCAGGCAGCGGAGAGCTCGGGCTGCCTATTTATTTGTGGCACAGGGGTGAGGAAAGGAGGAGCAGGAAGAGGAAGTGTCACCCGGATTCTCAGAACAGGGGACTCCAAGTATCAGGGCTTTCCTTTCCTTTTCTTTTTTAATTTTAGGTATCAGTGACTTTTCGAATGTTGTCCCTTGCGTGGGGAAGATTTCCACACCGCTCAGTGACTCTGCAAACTCAACATGTGCTTCAGGTCTCGGCTCCAGTGGGATCTCCTCCTTCCGCTTCAGGGGGCTGCAGATGACAGAGCAGGTCAGAGTCCCAGAGCCACACAGACCTGGGGTGACCGCCCCCCGGCATTGCTGACAAGGTGGCCCTGTGCAAATCATCTCATTTAATTCCCTCATTATCTTTTATGAAGATATTTATAGATTAAACAATGAAATATTTTTGAACTAAATAACGATACGGGAGCCTCATGGAAAGTTTGGGTTCTGAGAAGGGTAAGTTTGGGCCCTCATCCCTGGGGTGGCAGGAGAAGCCACACCCCAGAATAGCTTATTGTCTAGCTGCAGCGGCCCGTCTGGGTTCAGACCTTAGCTCTGCCACCTCCCAGCCGTATGGCCTTGGCAAGCCGCTCAACCCTCCTGTCTCCCCAGCCCATCGGATAGTGTCCCTGATCTGTCTGTGTCAGTAGAACATTGCTCAGATAGAACTCTCTAGAAGGGTCTCTGTCCTTCAGATTAGTGGCTCAGGGAGATACCGCAGCCTTCCCCTGTGACTTGTGACGACTGCGGCAGTCCCTAGCGATCATTTCTAGTGTTTAACTGTTCACATTTTAGCCCCCAGAGATGTAAAACCATGAGGAATTTCTTTCCTAACACATTCTTCTGACATTTTGTGGCAAAACACGATGATCATTAACGGTGCCTTCCTTCTTCTTCTTCCTCCTCCTTGTTGTTATCTGGTCCAAGAATATTTGGTCCTGGCTCCTCTACTTGATTTTGAACTTTTTTTCCTCTTGTCAATTTGGATGCCACAAAGTTGAAATCTTATTTCTGACATACTCCTTCCAAGACATTGAGAATTCTCAAATAGAGCTTTTACGTGAAGGATCCACGGCCTGAATGGAATCAAACCACACACACACACACACAAAAAAAAAAAAGACGGAGTTCTTAAAAGGATTTTATGTCATTTAAGGGATGCTGGTTTTTCAAGCTTTAAATGATACTTCTCTATCTACAAAGATGAGGCTTGTAATATAATTAAATCTCTGTTATGCGGCCTCCTATTGTTATTTAAATTTTACAAGCTCAACATCTATGATATTGTTCTGGGAAAATCCAGAGTAAAAGAACAAGCTACCAGAGACGCAGGCACTGAGACCCCAGGAGGAGGCGGGCGGAAGGGGGAGCCGAGTGAGATGGACTGGGGACTTACCGGCAGAAGTTGGGTCTAAGGCAGCAGCAAGCCCTGTAGATCCCTGCGCCCTGGGTCAGAGGGATGGACGGGACTCCCAGAGTGGACGAAGTTGGCTTTGACCCAGGCTGGAACGTGCTTGGCTTGTACATCAAAGACGCCAGGCCCACGGCCCAGCTGGCAGCCCGCACAGCTCTCTGGTGGTTCTGGGGATCTGCACTGGGCTGGACACCGGGCAGGGGAACAGGGCCAGGGACACCCAGGAGCAGCCATAGCAGCCAGGACCCAAGACAGCTGACGTCCAGGCAAACAGGACCCCTATAAACATCTTCCTAAAACTACCCAGCAAAAACACTCTCTTAACATTTGTGTTAGTGACCAGTGGATCTCCCCACCCAACTATACAAAGTTCTTAATAATGGTTTGTCTTCATAAAGTTAAAAATAGCTTTCTCCATTGTTGATCAATTCAGCATTTTACTCTTGACGTAATAAATGCGTTTACAGAAGACTGGTTCCAGTTTAGCACAAAGAGTACACAAGCAAAAAAAAAAAATCAGGTATATAGAGGGGGGGTTCCTCAGATTAGAGACAGGCAGCCCAGGCTCCAGGGCTGAGAGGCCCCTGGGGAACGGGCACAGGAGCCTGGAGCCCGCGGCTGGACCTGGGGCCTGGAGGCTCGTCTGGGAGCAGCAGAGGGCTCTGCTCACGAGATGCAAGAACAGCGCTCAGCTCACCCTCTGTCCCCCTCTTCAGCCCCTCCCGCGCCGAGCACCCCCTGCAGAGGCTCCCCCATGATGAAGTGAGTCCCCTCTTCCTGCACCTGTCTCTGTACACGTGGAAGCCCAGGAACCTCAAGGCTCCTCAAGCCCAGGGAACCCCCAGCTCCTCTCCCCCTCCCCCAGAGATCCAGTGAATTAGGTTCCAACCCAACAGCCCTTTCTGCGTCAGCCTAGGCGACATAGTAAGACCTGATCGATAAAATTAAGTAAAAGTAGAATAAAGTAAGATGCTGGAGTTGAGGCCCAGGGTAGAGGCTTGCCTGGAATGTGCGAGGGGCCCTGGGTTCAAGCTCCATCACAGAAAGAAAAGAAAAGAAAGAGATACAGGGAGGCAGCCCCCGGCCCTCGGCCTTCCCCAGGCCCAACCTCAAGGAGTCTGTTTCCCAGTCACCGCCTCCTGCCTCCCTGTTGGCATGACTGCCGCCATCTTCCTTCCCCACCCCCACTTTATGAATAGTCCTTATTCCCAAGAAGTAGAAACCACCCGAGATAAAAACCTCCCGGCCTGGAGACAGGCCTGTCTCTCCCTGTTCTCTCACTGGGAGGTGGGAGACAACTTACCGGCTCCCAAGATGGGGCGGGGCGTACGGGTTTCCCTGTTCTCTCCTTGAGAAGATAAAGGGAGACGTCTGTTTCCTTGTCCCCCCTCTGAAAGACAGAAAACTGCCTGTCTCTGCTCCCGAGAAATCAACTTGCCTTCCTCAAGATCAGGGGATGCTTATTGTGTCAGTCAAGACTAAACCTGCCCCTAATGCGTGGCCCTGATTCTAGCCTATATAAGGTGACATTCAAGGGGGGGTGGCTGCTGCTGTCCCTCTCTCTGCTCAGAGCTCCTGACAGTAAACCCGCGTCTTATGCCAGGTATGTGTGTGCTCAGTCCTTTCACACCCTCCTCCAGGGCACCAAAGCTAAGCCGTGCCCACCCCTCCCGTAGCCCCATCCTGTCAACCAACGCCCCTTTTTCTTGTATCTCATAAATTCCTGGTCTGTTTCTTTGGATTTTTAAACATAGCCAAGATCCTTTTTCATTTTTATAAAAAGAGCATATCCCCAACCACAAGCCTTAGCCCAGAGGTGACCAAGAAGGCCAAGGAGACACCAGCAGCTGACACAGGGTCACAAGGAAGGGACACATTTGCTCTGACCAGAGACAGGCCAGAGGCTGCCTCAGGGTGAGCAGGTGAGCGCGGAGGGCAGGTTGCAGAGGACTCTCAGCCAAGGAGATTAGATCCACGGCCCGCAGCCAGGCCAGGGGAAATCCTGCTTTGCCACTAAGCTGGGTGGCCCCAAGCAAGTTACCTCAGTCGACTCCTGATTTCCTCATCCATAAAATGGGGAAAGCCGTAGCTGTCCTTCTACCTTGTAAAGTCATTGTGAGGAGTAAGTGCCATCAGGTGGGTCCCCCCCAGGAAACTTGGTGCTATTTCTGGGGGCCACAGCAGAGAGGAGACACCCAGGGAGAAAGGGGCTCTGTGTCTAGGGACCACTGAGGGTGTCGTGGAGCCCATGGGGGAGGCTCTTCTCTGGGGGGGTGCTGTGGAAGGTGCCAGGGTCAGCAGGTGGGAGCAAGGAGACCATCCCAGCCTTGGGCCAGTGTCCAGGACCTGGGCTGGGCTGCGGAACTCTCCAGAGCCCTCCAAGGACAGCTGGCCCCTTGTCCCTCAGGACTGAGCCTGCCTCCTGTGTGCAGAAGCATTTTATGGAGACGATTGAGCCCCACAGTGGGGTCCCAGCCTGCGTGCACATCCTAAGTCCCATGGGGACCCTTCAGGTCCCTTCATCCCCAACTGGGAGTGGAGAGGAGGAAGTCAACTGCCATTAACAAAAGTCAAAAGCATCAGATTTGCCAGTAAGGCTCTGAGAGCCCCTCGACTTACATCTTCCTGATCACTAAAGTAGACCATAAAGCCAGCCCCTAAGGCAGAAGGGAATGCTGGGCGGCCACCCATCTGCTTTCCAGAAAGTGGGTGTGACACAACCCATTTCCTGTCCCCGGCTTGCTGAACACTCATCAGTTCTAACCAAATATTTAAAAAAAAAAAAATTCTTTTTGTGTCTTCAGGAAACTTGCAACATGCAAAGCGATGACTGG